CCACCACCACCACCTCCGCCTCCTCCAATGCTTGGTGGAGCACCACCACCACCTCCACCACCCTTGCCCATGGAAAACTCACCTGTTATTGTTCAAAGAGAGGCTTTCAAAGAACCTTCACCTTCACCTTTCGATAACTTCCCCAGACCTAAAAAGAAGATGAAACAGTTACATTGGGAAAAATTCGACGACTTATCTTCTAATTCATTCTGGAAAGAATCACAAACTCATTCTTTAGCTGGAGATTTATTATCTAAAGGTGTTTTTGATGAAATCGAATTAATCTTTGCTGCCAAAGAAATCAAGAAAATCGCTACCAAGAAGAAAGAAGATATCGATAAGATTTCTTTCTTATCGAGAGATATCTCTCAACAATTTGGTATTAATCTTCATTCATTCAATAGTTTATCTGATGATGAATTAATCAGTAAGGTTTTAAGATGTGATAAAGAAGTTGTACATAATATAGCTGTTTTAGAGTTCCTCGGCAAAGAAGAAGTCGTTGAAGTCTCTAATAATTTAGCTAGAAATCTTGAACCTTATGCTACTGATTACAAAGTGGAAAATCCAAGTAAACCTGAAAAGGATCCTAATGACTTACAACGTGCCGATAGAGTTTATTTGGAATTGATGTATAATTTACAACACTATTGGAAATCAAGAATGAGAGCTTTGAAATTAGTAGCCACTTATGAAAGAGATTATGAAGATTTAATCAATAAGTTAAGATCAATTGACGAAGCTGTTGATAGCATCAAGAATTCAAAACACTTAAAGGGTGTTTTTGAAATCATTTTAACTGTTGGTAATTATATGAACGATACTACTAAACAAGCACAAGGTTTCAAATTAAGTTCTTTACAACGTCTTAGTTTCATGAAAGATGATAAAAATAGTATGACTTTCTTGCATTATGTGGAGAAAATCATCAGATTACAATACCCCCAATTAGCAGGGTTCATTGACGAATTATCAAAGTGTTTACAAATTAACAAATACTCCATTGAAGGTATTCAGAATGATTGCAGAGAATTCATTCAATCAATAAAGAATGTCCAAAGTTCAATGGATATTGGAAATTTGAGTGACGTCTCCAAATTCCATCCTAATGATAGAATTTTGAAAGTGGTTGTTCCAAGTTTACCAAAAGCTAAGAGGAAGAGTGATTTATTGAACGATTCATCTTCATTTACTTTCAATGAGTTTGATAATTTGATGAAATATTTCGGTGAAGATCCGAGTGATTCATTCGTTAGAAATTCATTCATTTCTAAGTTTGCTGACTTCATAAATGATTATAAACGTGCTCATACGGACAATTTGAAACGTGAAGAAGAATTGAGATTATATGAACAAAGAAAGAAATTACTTGAAGCTCAACAAAAGAAGAATGAAAGTAAGGATTCATTACCTGAGGAAAAAGATAGCGGTGATAACGATGTTATGGATTCTTTGTTAGAAAAATTGAAAGCAGCTGGACCTTCGAGAAATGAACCTTCATCAGCAAGAAAAAGAGCTCTTATGAGAAAGCATTTGCTAGAATCTCAACAGAAGAAAACACACGATGATAGTTTCAATGATTCCCAGGAGGATTTGACTACAGTATCACCTACTCCTGGATCTTCCACTACGGATATACTAGAAGACGATAAGAATGTGGGTGATAGAGCAAGAAATCTATTGCAAGAATTAAGAGGGGCGGAAGCTCCTTCAAGACAATCAGCAGCTCTGAAATATCGTCAAGAACGTTTAAAGCGTCGAACCACCAATATAGATGAATCTGATAACCCCGATGAGTCAAATACTTAAATGAAACCAGGAACTGATTGTTCTTGGTTTCTTGTATATACATTCAAAAAATTTTTTTTATACAGTTTACTGGGTTTAATATTATAAAGAAGTATAGGATTTACAAACTCTGGAAATGTCTTCAATATCGTAATCAATCATACCTTTCTTATTATCCTTATTCCGGAAATATGGTTTGTTAATGGATTTCAATCCTTTTCCGGTGATTTTATCTGTAAATGGAGCATCCCAAACTTGTACGGGGAATAGCTTGTCTTGTGGTTTTCCTGAAATATTAAAATGATTATCTAAATCTTGATATTCGAGTGAATCTTCATTGATCTCCTTGAATATGGTCACTTCACCATCCACTGTTACAGAAACAAAGCTATTGTTGCAATGGTTGGGAGCCCAGTAATATTGAAAATCTCCTTTATAAACCCGAGGAACACCGAAAGTTTTGTAGGTACCAGTAGAAACGAGGTTCTTAGCTTTCTTGTCCATGATGATTATATCCGAATGATATTTATCAGCAACTACAACTTTATCCCCAACAATAGCATGATTGGCTATTGATTTGGACAAGGGATCTTCAGCAATAAAAGATAATGAAGCTTTAAGATCCTCTTTTTTGAACATGAACTGATAAATGGAATCAAATTTAGTGGTTAAACTGATCAAACTGTCTTCAACCACAATGGAAGTAATTGGACTGGTTAATGTTACCATTGATGATACAGGTTGTAATCTTTTACCTTCAATATTATACACTGTGGAATAAATAGAATTTTCACTGGAAAAAATTATGTTACTATCGACTTGTTCGATACAATTTATAGGACTCGAATGTTTAAATTCAATCAACTGAACACATTTTATAGCCAGTTTGTTTTCCTCAGTGGAAACTTTGGTTATATCAAGAATCTTGAACGAGCCCTTTGTTCCATTGGAACAACCAATCAAGATCTTTTTCGATTTCTTCCCCAACTTATCCAATGACCAAATCTTACAACAAACAGGATATTCGTCTTTTTCAAAAATGCTATCTTCAAGACCTTTCAGCCGACTAACCATCTCAGTGTGTGGCAAGAGTTTATATGTCTTCCTGTCTACAAATCTCAACCTCGCTTTGGCATCTTTGGAATCAGTTAGAATCATGAAGACTGAAAGGAAGGGCAAATAGATAAACTTCTTTGCTGCATCACCAATATTAATTTGCTTAATGTTGGGAATCTTGTAATCTGAAATATTAGCCACAGATAATCCCTCATCTCTGACCATCAATAACAGAAAACCAACTTGTGTATGGGAAATCATGGGAGCAACTGTTTTAACGATCTTATCATTCTTTTCGTCAAAAAGGATGGGTTCCGGATGTCCATAATCGTCGAAATCTACCAACCACAAAGATTTGCACGATACAAGTATTTTATTAAGATTCGAAGATACTTGGTGTAATTCAACGTTAGTATCACTTAACTTGTAGTAATTTTGAAATGACATCCCAGGATTAAATTGGAAAAGATACCCATCCCTAGTACCTAGTAGTATTCGCCCATTGGCAAAAAGCATATTTTGAGGTATAAGTGTATCATCAGTATCTATAAATTCATGAAGATTAACTGTAGACACACTATTTTCCATAAAGGTGAGCGAGTCTTCGTCTTGCATATGATTAGCCCCTTTGACCAACTCAATAGTTCGGACCTCGGACTCAAAGCTACCAAGGACGATCGACAACCCATCATCTACAGAGATCAACTTTAATGATGATACTTGCATGTTGACTTCACTCTTATATAAGATTGTAAGTTCGGTGGATATTTGAAGCAATTCGAGTTGATAATTAGTAGCATCTAACTGGGATACAATGATTACTTTATCGTCAATGATATCACAAATAACAATGACTTCATCATAGTCTTTCAAACCAACAAAGGAACCTATAGATGTAATGATGACTTTATGGGGGGTGATCTGGACACACAAATCTTCAGATACCATTGACATCAATAATGTTGGACTGTCATAATTAATACAAACCTCACTGACTTCTATCAAAGGGTCATCATTTTGAGGTTGGTATTCTAAGAACACTGTTTCGAAAGGGAGACTGCAACATACATACGTTGTTCCATGAATGTCTAACACAAACATCTTCTCGACTTTTCGTAAACTTTGATAAGGAGTAGTGGTTCTAGCTAGAGAATAACCATTTCTCAAATGACTCAATCTTGCCCTTTTCCCAATACCTGAAATGCACCAGAATTCATTTTTGGTGTTTTGATAACAATTTCTTGATTTGAAGGAGTCAATTATTTGAACATCAAAAATTGGAGCCCAATTCTTATAACTAGTCAATAGCAAAGATTGACTATAGGAATTGGGAGTGGTGTCGGTCAATAATTTCTCGATAAATATGTGTCTGTTTAATCCCGTATCACTACCATAGATCAAATCATAGCCATTGGAATTGGCTTCGAGAGTGAAAATGGATATAGGGTCAGATATCCTAACAATCAACTTTACTTGACTGATAACACCCTTATTGATAATAACAGAATAAATGGATCCATTGTCAGTGGAAATGAGTAGTTCATCGATGTTTGATTCATCGGTATTCAAAACGATATTGGTTTTCGGATAATAGTAATTAGTAGGGAAAGAGCCTGGGAATCTCTCTCTTTTGAAATTGAATTCTGCTGACGTTATATCATGGACAGTTATTATGATCAATTCTCCTGGGGTAACAAAAAGGAAACTCCCATTGTTACTCAAAGAAGCGATGAAACTAGGAAGGGGGAAATCTCCTGGTAAAGGTAAAGATGACTTCCCCAAACTTTCGTTGATTTTGTCGGTGGTAATCCATGAATAAAGGTTTAACTCTAAAGTGGACACGGTTGTGTAGTTCATAGTTAAGAACATAACATGGTTATCGAGAATACTACCTTTAATAGGTTGAGCAAAACATCCATGTAGGATACTTCCATCTACCACGACATTATAATGGGGTTGAAAGACCACTCCCAATTTGGTATGATTACAATTATATATCCTGAAACAGCTGGAAGATGATGTAGAAACAGCTGCAAGTCCTGAACAATGGGAATATAAATTATTACCTGATGAAAATATCGAAGGAGACCGTAATTCACTAGACGTATCCCACCATTGGACCACAAATGGTTTAAAAACCTTCTTCTTGTCTCCGAAATTTTCATTAAAGTCATTATCATGGAATGTTATTGGTACATAAAAGAATCTTATCAACAATAAGAATCCCGATTTTAGTGATATAAGCAAAGAATCTTCCTCTTGAACTCGTTCGTTTCTTATACCTTTTATGATACACGACGATCTTATATTGGAATTGAAGGGAAAATGTAAACCATTGACTAATAGACTGGTATTCTTCACTATAACAGATATGATCTGAAGTTTGGTAGTCTTGTTATCAGTATCATACATGTCTTTAACGTCCTTATTTTGTGATTGTGATTGACTCATATCCATGAGTAGGTCATCATCGTTGAAGGTTCCAAATTGTGAGTCTTCTTCTTGTAATGAAAGATACTGATCACTATCATCTTGATGAGATAAGTTCCTGATTTGACGAATGTTATTAGCAGTAGATACATGAAACCGGGGGAAAATGTTCTGGAATATAGGGGAATGCATCAATGTCTGTTTCATGAACAATGTAGATCTGTCTTCGACCTGGGGATCATAGTCAATATCCAAATTTAGATATTCCAACTCATCGATCTCCATTGTTGAGGGAATAGAAGACTTTTTTGGAAATGAAAAATGCAATCAATATGGAAAACAGTAAAATAATGGAATTATTATCTATTTATTGGAAATTACCTCTCTTAAAGAAGAGGTTCTGTTAGTAGATGAAGGTCTTTTAACAAACTACTTATGCTGCGATAACACCGCGACTTCTATACGACACTTTCCGTCCGCGACACAAAGAAGTTGCAAAAAAGTTACACAAGCATGGAGTTGAAAACTTACAATAAGAACTTAATTTTAGGTGTTGTGGCCTTATCGGGAATAATGATAGGACTGGAAATTAGTTCCATGAGCGCATTCATTGACACAGAAAATTTCAATGATTTTTTTGGGGTCTTGCTGAAAAGGGAACAGACCTTATTGGCTGCAAGTATTCCTATTGGAGCTGTTTGTAAGTAGTACCAAGAATTTTGTGGCAACAGAATCATACTAACAAACTAGTGGGGTCAGTGGTTTGTGGAACTTTCTGTGATGTATTCGGTTGTGTGGTTAATTTCCAAATATCAAATATATTTTGGGTTGTTGGTTGTGGTATAGTGATAATGCTGGAATTCATCTACGTACTTATATTGGGCAGGGTTTTCAAAGGAATTTCAATTGGTTTTATAAGCTGTTTGGTTCCTGTTTATATTTCAGAAGTATTTCCCATGAATCAAGTTGGCACTTCAATTTCTTTGTTCCACCTTTTCTCCGTATTGGGAACCATTATGATGTATTTCATAGGATTTGTCATTGAGAAACAAATAAACAGTTTCATGGCTTTTAGGATAACGTGGTGCACTGAAGTAGTTCCTTCGCTATTACTGATAATCTTAACTTTGGTCATACCAGAGTCTCCAAAATGGTTGGCTTCCAAGTCCAGATGGATGGAAGCAGCAAAAACGTTGAGCAGGATTAGAACTGTAAAAAGTAAAACACACAAAAATGATAAATCCTATGTGACCAGAGCTTATACGAACGGTAAGAAGATAAGATTTTGTGGATATCATGATCTTTTCACAAGGAAGTATTGGAGAGCTACGATTTCTGGTATTGTGTTACACCTAGTTATTCAACTAACTAGTACCACCACTTTGATGTACTACTTCAGTTATATTTGTGATATGTGTGGAGTGGACCAAGAAAGAAAATACTTATTCATTTCTAGCCAGTATATAATTTTGGGGATTCTGACCATCGTACCTGTCATATTGTTGGATAATGCCAGGAGGATCGATTTCATGTCCTATGGACTACTAGTGATTTCATTCACGTTCATAGCCAAATTTGTAATTCTAGAGATTTTTGCAGTACCTGTTGAGGAAAGTGATTCTCCTTTCAATTGGGTCATCAACAGAGAACCAGCTTCAGCTATCATTGCCCTTTTCCTTTTCTTGGTGTCAGTTTATTCCAGTTCCATCACATCGGTCAGTTGGGTATTCACTGGAGAAATATTTCCTGATGAAGCGAGAGCCAAGGGTACAGCAACATGTATGTGTGTCTCGTGGATGATCAATGGATTGACTACTTTGATTCTTCCCTTGAGCTTTAAATTGGCTGAATATTATGTCTTTTTGATTCTAGGGTGTTTATGTTTCATTGGAACCATATGTGTACTGCAATTACCAGAAACAAAGGTCAAAACTACCCAATTGAGTGGATTAACTATATCAAGTGAAGTTGAGAGTGACTTTAATGAAGATGAACCTTTGGCTAGTGAGTCCATATCTGAAGAGAAACAAGCTCTTGAAATTTTGAATGATTTATCGACGACTTTGATCAAAAGTGGTGGAACATCTGACCAAAAGGCTGTTTTAAGTCCTTTTATAGACAGTCCTTTGTTCAAATTGACAAACAAATCAAATGACATTATTGTGGAAAGTGAAGAAGAAGATTTCACTAAATCGTTGTATGAGAATATGAAGAGTAACTATGAATCACCCACCAAAACAGTAAGTGACGGAGATGATACCATTGGCAACGTGATTCAGAGCTACAGTGCCGATTTCAAATCACCCACAAAAATCGAATCTTCAAGAAACACACCCCAAAGTAACATTTCATTAACAACATCTTCCCTTTCAGATTGGAACGTTAAGATTAGTAACTATAAGAAAGATAAACCCAGATCCAAAACCACGAACAAATATCATTCAACTCCTAACCCATCCAGTGAAGATGTCGATAATAGTGACTTACCGGACGAGCCCGAATGGTATAGATTTGACAATCTTAGAAAGGGCCCAAAGAATAATCTACAAAATCAAAGCACTGTGAGAAGGTCTCAAAATTTATTTAGAAGTTGAGGATGTCTCAACACAACGAAAACGTATGTCGATTGATATTTTATAGAGAAATATAAATTACTAACCATTAGAATTCTTTGATTGATGATCTCATCGATAACGGTATGTTTTGTTTTTACCGAAGTCGAATTGACTTTTCCTACGATTTTTGAAAGCAACTTTAACATGGATACTAACTTATGTAGATGAACCAGAAACTACACCAATGTATGCTAGTTCACAGGCCCCACAAGCACCACAGGTTATAGAACCACAAATCCCACAACCTAAATCACACATGTTCCAACTCAATTTCTACAAAAAGTTCTTTGACTTGAACACAGAAGATTTCTTTGAAAAGATCAAGAATGCTATAAATCCTTTCAACCATCAATTGAATTTGATTAAGGAAGATGACGAAGAAATAACTGAACTATACGGATTTTTCTGGATCACAGGGACCTTGATCTTTTTAATGTTTGTCAGTTCCACAGGTTCTAACCTTTTATCCAATTGGTTACATTCTAAGAAAGATAAGGAGTATGAGTATAACTTTGATTTATTGACCATCTCAATTAGTTTATTCTATGGATACAATTTGATTGTCCCTTTCATATTATTCTCAGTCACCACATGGGTTCTTAAATTCCCTGAAAGATTATCATTAACTAAAATGGTATCGGTTTTCGGGTATACTAACATATTATGGTTCCCTATTACCATCATCAACTTTTTAATCGTATTATTGATCAATAATGAAAAACACCATACCTTATTGAATATCTTAGAATGGATCATCGTATCAATTAGTGGGGTAGTTACAGGATTAAGTAATTTAAGTAAAATAGGACCAGTATTACTCAAGAATTTATCCCTTATTGGTGATGTTGATCCCCAAAGAAACTATTATATATTAATGGGCTCCCTTATATTTGCTCATATGATCTTTACTGTATTGGTGAAAATCAGTTTTTTTGGTATATCAGTATAAATAATGTTTTGTTAAAATACATATATGGTGCACCGGTGTATAAATCGTGTCTTTACCGTCTCACTATAAAACTTCTCAGATGAGAAAAAAATTTTCAATATTCTAAAACTTATACAAAACACTGTAAAGTATTTTGATAATTAGATGAATATAAATACAATTAAATAGTATGTTTACTCATTAGATTGCTATGATTATTTGCATTTTACCAATTGTTCCAACTGAATTATCTGTGTTGACAAATGCATTATCGTTAAGTTTCAGCCTTGTATGAGCTTTCAAAAAAAAAACCCATTATTAAATGATACTAACAATCCAGAGTATGTCAAAGTGAAATAAATATTCTTGATGATTAAACTTGTCGACCGGGCGGACATATTTAACCTTATTCGTCCCTCCTTGTACAATTAAGGGAGGAGTCGCAGTTCAGTGTACAAATTTTGAATTGTTGATGAATAAGAGGTGATGACTGTCGTTTGATGATAAGAATAAAATGTTTAGTTTACATAGTTACTAACTTTTAGTATATTATTTAATTGATTTTATATTCATAAAATTGTCGGTTTCAATGATGATCTTTTTATATTCACACTGTACGAGAAGTAACCCTTCACTGACTACAACAATAAAAAAACTGATTTAATGACTCTGAAGAAACTGATATTTTATAGTGTTTTATGTAATTTTTGGAATGTATAATGATTTAGGGAGAGATGAGTTGAAGGCTGCAAAATTGCGAAGAATGGCTTGAATGATTGTTGATGGAATACCGAACATCGTCCAGGGAATTGAGATATATGTCCAATGACATCTTATTTTGATGTTAGGTGTTGTCCCAATTTATCATTTGTTCTGCTTGTTCTTTGTATTGAGTTGTTGATTCCCATCTCACCTAGATGTGTCAAATTTAATCAGCTCATTTTTTCCACTATCAAATTTTATACAATGTTCGAGTACATTGATTATTAACTTTTGAATCCTGAATACTCTGGAAATAACAACCCTTTTCTCTAGGTGAAACACAATTCTTTCCCATTACTCTCCCGTTTCCCTACTAACTTCTAACCTCCAAATTTGGTGATGCCATAAGAATCTCGCGACTAAGATTTTTCAACCTAGATGAATATACGACAGATTGGTGGTCTATCAATACTACCGAGAGTTAAAGTACGATATAGTGCTATAATATCGAGAACATTGCATCATAGCAGTCATTTATACAATTCCCTCCACGATATAACGACAAAATCCGAAGAACATTCATCAACGTCATCATTCAAGTATGTTAACTTAGCCATACAAAATAGAAGATGTCAAAAACGTTCTATTCCCAAACCTTACACCACAAAGTCAGAAGTTTTGGATGATCTTAAAGCTATCAATGAAATGGGGATAAGTGATGAAAGAAGTGAAGAAATATTTACATTATTCAATAAGATGATAGGTCTATCTCATACTTATAATGATTTGATACCATTAATGTGTGACATTTGGACTAAGGTCTTTACTCAGGACTTCCCTTCGATACAGAAGAAACTCATCACGAGGAGAGAGATTTTTGTCCATGCTTTAATGAACACCAAAAGATTTGATGATTATAGAAATTGTATACAACCTCTCGTTGAAGCTGGTACTCATGATTCCCAAGTATATGACACCTTGATACAAATTTTGAAATTCAATGGGAAATTTTATGATATGGACGGCATTTTAAAGTATCTTAGATCAGATGGTGATATCAATCAAAAGAGAATGTTCATAAATAGATTCCTAATACTGAACGAAATCGATGATGAAGTAATGAAAGATTTCTTCAAGATGTTACGAATAGTTGATGGTACATGTTTACTTACTGAAGAAGATCACAAACACTACCAAGCGTCCGTGGAAAAGATAAATGTTGCGATAGTAAATTCAAAAAGAAAAGACTTCAACCTTAACAAATTAAGAACCATCATGTTTGGGTGTGGGTTCTCAAACAAAGCATACTTCAACTTCTTATCTTCAATGATAAAGTTAGGTACACCCAAAAACTCACTCAAGATATTCAAATTCAAATTTCAAAAATATCTTTGCAAGGAAACCATACTAGCTGACTATGATATTACCAATGCCATGAAAACCTTGTATGAACTAGGAAGATACAAAGCATGTTTTGATCTTTATAAGTATGATCCCAAGTTCAATAACGAAGATCAGTTCGCCATTTTGATGGAGACTTGTGTAAAACAAAAAGATTGGTTGAATTTACAGGTAGAATTCGATGATCTTTATGGGAGAGGTAACTTACCCTACGCCGTTCATTATTCCATTGTCATGAATGCTTTGGCTGAGTTGGGGTCCGTGAATGATGTAGATAGATTATACCAACAATTACTTAAAAGACGAATGACACCCAATATGGCTATTTATAAGGCTTTAATCAAAGTAAGAGTGAACAATAATGAATTCGCTGAAGCCCAGGAAATCTTCAACAAATATCATCGTCAATTCAAAGATAGTTCAAGTGTTTATAGTTTGATTCTGAAGGAACATTTCAATTCATCCAATTATAAGAAATTAATGATTCTTTTCATAACGTCCGTCAAGAAGGAAAAAGCTGAAGGTATCAAATTGATCAACTCCGAATTCGTTCTTAAACTAATAAAGTCCTTACAAAGAAACTATGCATTTAAAGAAATTGAAGAAGTGAATTTAATCGTCAAAGAATTGTTACCACATTTGATTGATGATGAATTTTTCAATGCCTTAGGAGAGAGCTACATAAAGTTCAATCAATTCGAGATGGTAGAAGCTTTGGTCAACGAAGCTAAAATTATTCATAATATCCCTGAAGAGAAACTTTATTCCTTACAATTGAGAAACTATCGTCATTGGGAATTTGTAGTCACTAACAAATATCAAAGAGGTAACATTGATCTTAGTAGAAGATATATTATCAACAAAATTGACAATGAATTGATCTCAAACAATCCTAAATTATGTACAGAAGTCATCAAACATTTGATCAATGAAGGATATGAAGGAAGAGCTAGAGGATTTCTTAAAAAGGTAATTAACTTAAACAAACCAAGAGAGCAATTTTTCTTACCCTTAATGAAGTATAATTTGCATTTGAATGATGAAAGTTATTTAGAAGAGAATTATAAACCTGATGATTCAGCCCGACAATCCGCCAATTTGAAACAACGATTGATAAAGTTGAATAAGAAAAATCTAAACCTATTCAAACAAATGGTTAGTCTTGAAGTACCAGTGACTATGAAGACTTATGATGTTTTGATGCAATCAATCACATATGTTGATAAATTCGAAGGTAATGATTTTTCCAATTCAATCAAGTTGATGCAATCCATTTTAGATATTAGTGGGATGAAGTTGGAAATTCCTCTCCAAGGAAATTTCAATCAATTTTCAAACCTTGCCATAGAAGATGGTGAAATATCAGATTTCGATTGGTTCGAGAACAGTTCTGAATTATTCAAAATATCCATGTTCTTTGTTAACAATGTATTATACGGCAAAAAAGAAAAGAATAAATTCTTAGTAGGTACATTGAAATCCTTAGGACTGATGAATAATGATATGCCATTGTATTTGAGATTGTGTATTAATCAAGAGATGGGGAGATTCTACAAGAGATTGGACAACGTTAACAGAGTGATGAAAATTACTGATAAAGGATTATCAGAATGTCAAAAGATAATCAAAAGATTTCTGACCAGTTTCCCACTTCGATATGAAAATAATGGAATGTTCAGATGGGCCGTACCCCAGGAATTGAAAAAACATTTTGAAGATTTCATTTCTCTTAAAATAAGAATTTTACAATATCAAGAAATGAAAAACCAACAATCTAACCAAACTAGTTTCCCCAAATTACTTCGTATAATTAAAGAAAATGAAGTGGCCGTTAATGGGGTGGAATTAAACTTTATTATCTCAAAAGTTTTGGGTTCTTCTGTTGACTATATAACATCAGAAGTTTTACCTGTGATCGAAGATCACTTAGCAAATAATGGATTAAATGAGATTTCTATGAAGAGACAAATTCAGTATTTATATAAATTATTCAGTATTCTTATGATCAATAAAATTGGAATGAAGAGATTTTCCAAAGAATATGAAATTTTGACCCAACATTATGAAATTGATATCGTATCTAACCATGACAAAATAATGATTCGACGTATAAAATCACAGTTCAGCAATGGTTTGAAAACCTTCAATACTAGATTCCCTGAGTTCAGTGCCGAGGAAAGTTTAATTTTTAGTAACCCTTTCAAGTTCTTCTATCCTGAACGGTCGATCAAAACTGTCAACAAATTAAATTATGAGAACAGTTATAAATTATTGAAAACTTTAGAGAATTTAGATAAATATGAATTATTTGATTTGATGGACAAATATCCTTTAACCATTGAATTGATCATGTTGAATGATAAAAGCATGAATAAAATAATACAATTCAGAAATGCCATCAATAAAATAATCCCCTGTTCTACTATGGAAACCAAACAAGAGAGGTTTGAAAGAACAATGAAAGCATTACATGTATATAGTAAATGAGTATTAATATATCTTAATATTATCAATTTTGAATTTTCATTGAAATGTTGATTTACTATTGATTATTGGTAGTCTTTTTGGTCTTAACTTCAGCAAAAGTGAAAGGAGTTTTGGTGACGGTTTTACCATAAATCAAAGGACCAATATGAGGTTGAACATTCCATTCTAATGTTAAGTTAGCAATTCTAGAACGGAATGAATCTTCTACATCCCAAACTGAATATTTAGCTCTTTGATTAGATAATTTGATTTTAGCATCTTCTTTATTGGTGATAATTTTGTCCCAATAAGTAACTTTATTATATGATTCTTCACTTTTACCTGGATATTCGGCAGTCAAGTAAACAAATACTTGTTTGGTATTCCAATTGAATAATGATGATAAGTCGGTTTCAAGGTCGAATTTAATGATGGAATTTTCCTTTGGTTTACCATTTTTACTTCCATATTGGAATGAATTCTTTAATGATGCGTTGGCTTTAATGTTTTCAATGGAATTATTGAGTCCCCATACATTGTTTGAATATAATTGAATTAAGGAAGAAATAGCTACCAAGGCACCTAAAATCATCGAACACGTTAAAACATGATTCGACACTGCTTGAGCTCTAGATACTAAGTTAAACATTTGATCGCGATTTAGTGAGAATTATTTCGGTTGATCATTATCACCACTTTTTTTTTAACCGTTGGAGTAAATAGCTCAAAATGAGATATAGAGTTCTTAAACTTTGGAGTTTAACTCTCACGCCCAATACAAAGTCAATAAATATACCAAAATGTTAAAAATCGGCCCCAAAAGTTTTTCTATTCCTTGTCATGAACCTCTCCCACGGCTCATCCTTCAGAAAATGGTTCCGTGGTTTAGTTGGTCATAACGTCTGCTTAACACGCATAAGGTCCCCAGTTCGAACCTGGGCGGAATCATTATTTTTTTCCTCATTCTTCTTTTTATTCCCCCTATTGCTCAATATTTCCGTTTTAAACTTTTGTTGGAAAAATTTTTTATTGCTCCGATATTTGATCAATGTGACAGTTTGGTCATAGTACGTTATTTACGACAAACGAAAAGAATTCTCCAAATAATAGTCGATAAAATTCGTCGTCTCCGTAAAAATAATGTTACACATGAAATTAGCCTGTTAGAGTTTAAGATATTTTTTTTTTTTCGAATTTCATTATTAATCTGATAATTCACCTTGGACATTAGTAATTTTATCAACTGGGAATCTTTCCCAACTTCGCCCGCTGAGCAATACCGGAATAGGGAGAAAAAGATTTCTGAGACGAAACCTCGGGGATAACACAAATATTTTCATGAAACTGATGAGGGAAAGAAATTGCTGAATAAATTTTTTTCTTCTAGGAACCCGCCCCGAATTAGTGTATATTCATAACTTGTACGTCATAAACATTCTGCAACATATTCATCAAACCTTATTAAACCTGTTGGTGGAAAAATATCCCCTAATTATACCTAATTACAATTGGATTGTTAAAAGCTTAAATCGGTTATAGGCGCGCCATGCAACAAACCCACTATTTATTTAAGAAGTTGTACATAAATTTCAGAAACTTCAACGGGAAATTCTCTTATTTTAACCTTTCGATGTGCCCACAAAAAAAAATCATTAAAGTTAAAAAGTTTAATATTAACTTTGATTGTCAGGGAAAATAACGTTTTGGCTCAGTGATAAAACCATGATATTAAAAAATACTTAATTTAGTGGTTTTTACACAGTAAAATCTTCTAAAAATCAAAACGTTGTAACCCCAGTCGACTAACTATCAACTGCACAACTCTAAAAATTAGCCCCGAATCTATTGTTTTTGATTCCTGAATATTCTAAAACTATTTCATCTTTAAAATTATTTAGGAAAACACGACAACAAATCTACACTCGCATATATCCTAATGCATCAAAAGAGACTTAAGATTTCCGATTGTAAAGTGATTTTTTTAAAAATTTCTAATTTTTATTCGGACAAATACTGATAACAGTTGAAAGCCTTTGTAATATTTGATTTATTGTTTTGGTTTTAATTACGTTATTTGGAACATTTTTTATATTTTTATTGTTATAGTTAAGGAATCATACTTAGATTATATTTTTTTCCCGTTGAACTACCTAAAATTTCATTTACATTTTCAGAGTTTTTTTTTAAAATACAGTTAAATTTAATTGTTGGACATTTGTTGGTGAATATTTATGATATTCATATGATATGAGTTTTGATCAAAGAATGGTCAATTATGGGAATTTAGATGTGACAACAATGGGGAAGTTTAATGGAATACAAGGAATTCAGGGGATACGAGGTGGTATTAACCAACCGGCTGTAACTTCAAGGAATTTTAGTATAAGTAGTATTAGTGGAGCTAGTAGTAATAGTGTAGGATCGATTCAAGATACTCAAAGTAGTAAAGAAAGTCTCTTAAGTCATAAGCTTGATACTGTGTTAGGAGATTCCGATGGTAATAATAGTCCCTTAGAGATGACTACTTCAGTTAATTATGAATTAGGGGTCGGGGTTAACGATTATTCAACAAATCAAATCAATCCTATGACATACAATAATTTTAATAATTATGGTTTATTTGTAGATGATGGAAATTATCATAATCAAATACCTAAAGAATTACCCCCTAAAAGGAGAGGTTTAGCAAATGCAATTAATGGTAGAGAAGTTAGTGATAAAATTCTTCATGTTGGGAATTTAGATAAAACCATTCAAGAATTTGAATTGATTTCTATATTTCAAAAATATGGTTCCATTAAATATTCAAAAGTTCTCCAAGATAAAAACAATAGTTTCTTTAATTATGCATTTGTTGAATTCATTAAACCTGAAGAAGCTTTAAAAGCTTTAAATGCTTTAAATGGTTTAAAGATTGGTAATTCTTCAATAAAAGTAAATTTTGCCTATAGATCAACAAATGCCAATCTGGTTCAATCAACCCAACCAGTTTTCAACATTTTTGTTGGTGATTTGAGTCCTGAAATAAACGATGAAATTTTATTCAAAAATTTTGAAGAATTCAATCCAAGAGAAGCTCATGTCATGTGGGACATGAAAACTTTAAGATCAAGAGGTTATGGATTCGTAACATTTTTAAATGATTTTGATGCCAAACTTGCTTTAACTCAAATGAATGGTAAAAAGATCAATGGTAGAATAATAAGATGTAATTGGGCTTCCCATAAACAAAAACAATCATTAACTCCTCCACCTCCACCCAATGTAATACCTTGTAATCAAATCAAATCAGAACCAGTATCAAATTTTGAAATCATCTACAAGCAAACTCCAACTTGGCAGACCACTGTATATATTGGTAACTTGGCTAATTTTACTACAGATAAAGAATTAATCCCTATAGTTAATCAATTTGGATTCATTTTAGAATTAAAGATCTTCAATGAAAAAAATTGTGCTTTCGTCAAATATGATAGCCATGAATCTGCCACTTTCGCTATTGTCAATTTATCAGGATATTTAATGAACAATAGACCAATCAAATGTGGTTGGGGTAAGGATAAACCTGTTTTTTACAAATATAATGCATAGAGGTTAATTTTCTTTCCAAGGCCAGAAATGACTTTACGATCAGACTGTTTTCCCAAAATTTCACAAATTTCGGCAAAAAAAAGAAAAGTGTTGATTTTTTTTTCTAAAAAACATTTCATTGGAGATTCAATCTCATATGAATCTCCTTGACGATAGCATTTCATGAGATTGTTTATTTAAAAGACATTATCGTCAGTTTTTTTTTGTAGTGTGTACAGTGTATAGACAAAAGAAGTAATATAAATTTGTAGGAAACCGCGAAACACTGCTCAATATGGACGCTCTTGAATCATTAAGAAATAGACTAAATCAAGTTCATATATCGCTAAGGAAGTTATCAGAGCAAATCAATTATGCTAATAGATTCCAAGAAAAATCTAAACTCCCAACCTATGGGCAATTTCAAAATCAATTCCATATTTTGTTAACACAATTACATTCCATAACCAATATCATAGAGAATAATCAAGAAGCTTTAAGAAATTCAAATGCATTCCCTTTACCTTCGTTCCCAACCACTCAACACGAAGGACTTTTAACTACTTTATTAAGGAAAAAGCCGTTACCTGAGGTTGAAACTTGGATAGATGAAGCCATTGAAAAATCTAAAGATCTAAATATAAATAGTGAAATCGATGATGAGTTTTGTCAATGGTGTTTATCACAAATTCAAAGTTTAAGAGAAGAATTCCAATTTTATGGGTTCTTATCAACAAATGAACTAGAGGTTCTCGAAACCGAACAAGGGAAATTAGAAAGTGAAAAAAAGAAAGAGATTGAGAGAGAGAAACAAGATTATGAATTCAAAATAACAAATGGCAAAAAACCTATGAACCCCAATCATGTATTAAAATTCATGTTTCAAGGGAAATTAGAATAGAGATGACTTACATACGACTTAATAAATATAAATTCACCTATAGAATTATTCAGCATCATAATAAGCTTCATAAAAATATAATATAGAGAACAAGAAGAAAGAAATAGCTCCTCCTAAAGTAACGTTTCTCATACTAATCTTTTTAGCGAGAAGTTTACCTCCCATACATGCAGCAAAGGTACAAACCCCATGACCTAAGATGGCTCCAATGATAACCATCCAATAATCTGATCCTGCTGCTAAAGCAATAGTAGCGATTTGTGATCTATCACCCCATTCACCTAAGAAAGTCATGACGAATACTTGAATGAAGATTGGTGATAAAACGAATGATGCTAAATCTTTAACTTGTTCACCGAATTTGACATACCATTGTTGATCTGAAGTTTGTTGAACATTACCTGATTCCATGGAATCCATTTGGTTGTTAAGGTCGTTAGCTTTGATTTCTTCTTCTACTTCAGCCAATTCTTCATCAACACCAACATCTTTTGACATACTTAAACCTTCTCTTAATAATTTATAACCAAAGACAATGAATAATACTGATGCTAAGAATTGAGTAACTCTTTTGGATAATAAAGAAGGTAAAGCATGACCAACGATACCTGATAAAACTGTCATAATAGCTAATGATGAGAATGCAGCAGCGAAAACAACAACTCTTGAATATCTCATAGCCATTAAAGCTGCAATCAAGAAAGTTTTATCACCGATTTCTGAAACAATAATCATAGAAACTGACATAATAAAGGAATCCCAAGGTTGTTTTGCTTCTTCTTCATTTGATGAACCTTCAGCTCCGTAGGGTGAAATTGGTTTCTTTGCGTGTTGGGGTGTTGGTTCATTATCTTGATCTTCAATATCATGAACTCCTAATTTATTAGATTTACCCTCATTGAAATTGATTTCAGTAAATTTTACATCGTCAGGAGTCTCTGGGGCTTGGATAACATCATCTGGTTGAGAAACTGGTACTGGTTTACCATCATTTTGATCTTCGATTAATCCATTAACTCCTTGTAAGGAGGATAATACATTGAATAATATAAATAGCGTCTTAAATTGCATATTGGATCTTTTATTAATGCTTATTCAACACAATCTATAGCGAATCACTTGGAGCCGTAGAAGGAAATTTTTTCAGCTACCGCGATTTCAACTCCGAAGATGCTTGTCCCTGGGTAATGATCGGAAAAATATGTCCCTTTTAGAGCGAAGGATTATATCGCAAGAACCCCAAAAAAGAAGTCAAAGAGATAAAAGTGACTTAAACGTTATATAAATAAATCTATATTTATGCAATTTTACAATGACGGTATGAAAGAATTAATAAATTAATGATGAGCAGGTAATGGATTATCAATGACTTTACCATCCATTACTTTACCACCTTTGACCCAACCTCCGAGACCAACACTTTGAGTTTTATTATATTCATTAATTCTGTCAACCATAACAGGTCTGAAAGATTTAATTAAACCTTGAATTGGCCATGCAGCAGCATCACCTAAAGCACAAATAGTGTGACCTTCGATTTCTTTAGTTAATTCAAAGATCATATCGATTTCCTTTTCGGTGGCTTGACCGGTGTAGAATCTATCCATCATTCTGTTTAACCAAGTAGTACCTTCTCTACAAGGAGTACATTGACCACATGATTCATGCTTATAGAAAGCTGAAAATCTTTGAATAGCTCTAATAATATCAGTTTGCTTATTCATAACAATAACAGCAGCAGTACCTAAACCTGATCCAACATCTCTTAAAGCATCATAATCCATTAAAATATCATCACAAGTTTCTTTAGTCATAACAGGAACTGAAGAACCACCTGGAATAACTCCTAATAAGTTATCCCATCCACCTTTAATACCACCACAATGTTTTTCTAATAATTCTTTTAAAGGAATTGACATTTCTTCTTCAACAGTACAAGGTTCATTAACATGTCCTGATATACAGAATAATTTAGTACCACTATTACCTTTTCTACCAAATGAAGCAAACCAATCACCTCCTCTTCTTAAAATAGTTGGAGCAACAGAAACAGTTTCAACATTGGCAACAGTAGTTGGTCTACCGAATAAACCAACACCAGCAGGGAATGGAGGTTTCAATCTTGGTTTACCAGCTTTACCTTCAATTGATTCAATTAAAGCAGTTTCTTCACCACAAACATAAGCTCCCATACCTCTATGAATGTAAACATCAAAAGCATAACCTGATCCACAAGCATTTTTACCTAAATAACCAGCTTTGTAAGCTTCATTAATAGCATTTTGTAAAATAGTGGCTTCATTATAGAATTCTCCTCTGATATAAATATAAGCTGCGGTAGCATTCATTGCTCTACCAGCTAATAAACACCCTTCAACTAATTTATGAGGATCTTTTCTAATAATTTCTCTATCTTTACAAGTACCTGGTTCCCCTTCATCAGCATTAACGACTAAATATCTGGGTCCAGCATTCTTTTCCCAACCTGGAGGGTTCATGAATGACCATTTTAATCCTGATGGGAAACCAGCACCTCCTCTTCCTCTTAATCCTGATTTTTTCATTTCATCTATAATCCATTTGTCTCCTTTTAATATGATTTCTTTGGTTTTGTACCAATCTCCCATCTTTTCAGCAGATTTTAAATCATGTCCAAATTTACCATAAACATTTTGAAATATACGATCTTGATCTTTTAATCCTCCATATATTCTGGCTGGGTTGGCAGCTCCATCAGCAATGGTAGCTAAACTTCTCTTAATAGCCTTGGTTGGTATTCTTGAAAGCATATTAATCACTCAGTTGATTTTTTTCAATCGAGTTGTTAAAAATTCTCAATCTGATTAATGCGTAATTTGATTTCTTCTCATTGGAGGAATTGGGGTTTCATCTCAATGGCTTTCGTGTGCGAACCTAAATTTTGGCTGCAACTTTGGTGGAGATGAGTTTCGGTTTAGAAGCTGCTTGGGAGGGTATGAGGTAATTCATGGTGGATTTGGGTTCACTCGGGGTGTTTAAGAGTTATGGGGTATGATAATTAGCTATGATTGGTATCTGCACGAATGCCAGTCGATCATCCAGTCTTAGAGGAAGTGGAGCCATGAGTTGGTAAAATGACTTTATAATGGGAACTTTGTCACCTGAGTTTATTTTTGGGAAGTAAATATTCTAAGGTTTGGAGGAATGAAATGTTTAGGTCAATAGGGCGTGAAAGGACAAAATCGCAAGTATTAATAAAGTGTTGCTCAATGAACAAAAGCTCATTTTTATGAATTGAAGGCCCTGTGGGCCCTGTAGGCAAGTCCCTATTGCAAATTATTTCGTATTTTCTACTTTCTAATAATCTCTACGAGTATTAGTTCTCAGGGACATATGAGAAACCAGGGAATTCAAATCGACCCTCTACCATCCCGCGATTTGGCTGCAAAATGCAGCTTCATGTCAATGTCTGCAAATCTAATCACCTAATCTGATCTGAAACTCGCTTCAACTTTAAACTATGAAGGTTATAAATAGATGAATTTTGGTATGTGAGATCGCTCCACCATCAGAGACTTTCCGTTTCCTCCATAAATTAATAATGTTATTACCAATTTGGTTATTCATTGTAGGAGTTGTTTCTGATATTGCTATTGTTTATCCTTCAAACAATGAAAATTTCACACCAAATATTGATGAAATCGATATAAGGTTCGAATTTATAGATGATAATTCTTCACCCCATGATACTGAACTAGACTTTATATCGATCAACTTATGTACTGGTCCCAATAATGACATAACTCAAGTCAATGCAATAGCTGAAAACCTTACCTTAGCTGATTTTCGAATTTCAGGAACCACCCTCTTTGAAACGAATTTGTCGATAAGCAAGGATTTTTCAAGTGACGGGTTATATTTCTTGCAAGTGCTATCTTTTTGGGAGGACTATTTGAGTATTCATTACAGTGAGAGATTTGTTTTGAGTAACATGACCAACAGTACCAAGATACTACATGGATCAATGGAAGATCCCCCAACTCCTGATACTAAGATTACTCAGGGTGTGTCCACAACCGACTATGCAAATTTGTACACTATCCCATACATGTCACAGACATTGAGCGTTAAATATGCTTCTATGCAACCACAAGTTGGTAGTTTCAGGACGCTGCGATGGTCTAATACATTTAATATCCGATCCATAAGTCCCTACACAACTTTAGGACCTAGTCCGAATGTCATGTACACTATCACGGAGCCACCAACATACGTGATAAATTCTGGTATCAATACCATACAGGCTCAGACGCCATCCCATCACCATTACGATCCAAATAAAAGAGTTCAAAAACCAATCCTTAGACCCCCCTCAGTGTCTCATAGTTAGCATCTCCACTAAATAAATATTTCTCAATGCGATCTGTCTACATAGGAATACTAGCTATATACTATTACTATATCTATAAGTATTTGACTGCGACGCCGACATCAGAGGCCCCCTATACCTTCTCAGAGCAGGTTGGTAAAGGTAAACCCAAGTTAGCCAGTAACTCGTATGTTGATTTCAAATCACCTCCAAGTCATGAGAAACTAGGTAAAGAGAATGCTACGATAGTGATGTTAGTAAGGAATAGAGAATTGGAGAGTGCCTTGAGTTCCATGAGATCATTAGAAGATAGGTTCAATAGAAATTATCATTACCCGTGGGTTTTCCTCAACGATGTTCCTTTTACACAAGAATTCATAGATCAAACGAGGCTAATGGCGAGTGGTGAAGTATTTCATGAATTGATTCCAGCAGACGACTGGAACCCCCCTCCTTACATTGATGAAGAGAAACTCAATGAAAACCTTGTAAATTCAAGCAACGTCATTTATGGAGGATCGAGATCATACCGAAATATGTGTCATTTCAATTCAGGGTTCTTCTTTAGACAAAAGAAGTTGATGGAATACGATTGGTATTTCCGAGTTGAACCTGATGTACAATATCTTTGTGATTTTGATTACGATCCTTTTACTTACTTACGGGAAACTGGTAAGATTTATGGCTTCGTTACGGCTATTCATGAATATGAAAATACTATTCCCACATTATGGCCCACAGTAGAAAAATTCATGTCAGAGTATCCCCATTTACTACATCCTAATAATTCCCTTGATTATATAACCACCAATGAAACAGAGTTGAATTATTTGGTTCCTTTGGTGAATTCTTCTTCTTCATATAATCTTTGTCATTTTTGGTCAAACTTCGAAATAGGAAATTTGAATTTCTGGAGATCAGAGGCATATTTAACTTACTTCAATTACCTTTCTAAGTCTGGAGGATTTCATTACGAACGTTGGGGAGATGCTCCAATTCACTCTATAGGACTTAATTTGTTAGCTGATAAATCAAAAATTCATCACTTCGATGATATTGGGTATTATCATGCTCCTTACATGGCATGCCCTACTTCTAAGGATTTAAGAACTTTCAAAAGGTGTATTTGTAAGGCCGAAATGAATGGTGAAATTATCACTGAACCTTATGATGTGAGTATTTACAGTTGTTTGAGTAGATGGTGGAGATATGGATCAGGAAAAAAGTTCATCTCCGAAGTTGATTATCATAGATAGTTTTTGTATATATACTGGTCGTGTGTTGACCATCCATTGATTATATCGCATCTCAAACCCATCGCATCTCAAAATTTTCAACCATGGCTAAGAAGGGATCTAAAGCTCAATTAGGAGCTGAAGCATTATTAGAAAGTATAGATAAGTCCAGATCAAAACCACAATCAAAAGAAACTGTTGAAGCCAAGCCTGTCAAACCCGTTAAAGCTAAACCTGTTAAAAAAGTTAAAGAGAAAGATTATGAAAGTTCTGTGTTAAGTAAGAAAGAACAAAGAAAATTAAAGAAACAATTGAAGGAACAAGAAGAAGAAGAACAAGAAGAACAAGAAGAAGAACCAGGTTTTATAGATGATGAAGCTGAAGAAGCCAGTGATGATGAAGAAGAGGATCTTGATTTCAACAAATTAGCAGAAAGTGAAAGTGATAGTGAAATTGATGAAGAAGAACAAGATGACGATGAAGATGAAGAAGAACAAGACGATGAAGACGATGAAGAACAAGATGAAGAAGAAGAGGAAGAAGAAGACATTCCTTTATCTGATGTAGAAATCGATTCTGATGCTGATGTCGTCCCTCACACTAAATTAACTATAAATAACACAGCAGCTTTAGGTGAAAGTCTTGCTCGTATTGCATTACCATGGTCTAAACATAGTTTTGTTGAACATCAATCGATAACCGGTGATGAAAAGACCGAATTATCTATCAAGGATATTTACGATGATACTGAAAGAGAATTAGCATTCTATAAACAAGGTTTAGATGCTGTTAAACAAGGTAGAGCTAACTTACTCAAGTTGAAGGTACCTTTCTCAAGACCAATGGATTATTTTGCCGAAATGGTTAAAAGTGATGAACATATGGATAAATTAAAGAATAAATTAATGACTGAAGCTGCTAATAAAAAAGCTAGTGAAGAAGCTAAAAGACAAAGACAATTAAAGAAATTCGGTAAACAAGTTCAACATGAAACTTTACAAAACAGAGCTAAAGAAAAGAGAGATACTTTAGATAAAGTTAAAAACTTAAAGAAAAGAAAAGCCAATCATGATTTAGGTGACGATGAATTCCAAATTGCATTAGAAGAAGCAACTAAAGAAAACAGTCGTGTTGATAAAGAAAGACATGCCAATGGTAGAAACGGTGATAAAAGACAAAGACCTAACGGTAAAAGATTAGCTAAGGATGCAAAATATGGTTTTGGTGGTAAAAAGAGATTCTTAAGAAAAAATGATGCCCAATCATCAGCTGATGTGTCAGGATTTTCATCTAAGAAGATGAAAAATCAAAGACCTGGTAAATCAAAAAGATCAAGAAGACATTAATGTAATGCATATTGAATGAGGTACTCTTAACTCTAGTATTTGAAAACTCTGACTCTACCTCCGTACACCAGACCAATAGAGGAAAAGAATTGATCTATGCGCGTATCTCGTTTAGCTCAACACAAATTTTTCAATGAGTGATAAAGTACAAGCTAGAGAAAGATTCATTGGTGAATTCGATGGATTAGTCGAAGATTTAAAGACTATCTTAAATGATTACAAAATGCCACAAGAAGCCATTGATTGGTATGTCAGACAATTGTACTACAACACACCAGGTGGTAAATTAAATAGAGGGTTATCAGTTATTGATACTTATTGTATCCTTACCAATCAAAAGGTTGAAGATTTGGATAAAGAAACTTACAAGGAAGTAGCCATTTTAGGTTGGTGTATTGAATTATTACAAGGTTTCTTCTTAGTTAGTGATGATATTATGGATCAATCAAAAACTAGAAGAGGTCAACCATGTTGGTATTTAGTTGAAGGTATTGGTAACATTGCTATCAATGATAGTTTCATGTTAGAAGGTGCCATCTACGTTTTATTGAAGAAATACTTCAAATCAGAAAAATATTACGTTGATTTATTAGAATTATTCCATGATGTCACTTTCCAAACTGAATTAGGTCAATTATTAGATTTAACTACTGCTGATGAAGAAGTTGTCGATTTAGCTAAATTTTCTTTAGACAAACATTCATTCATTGTTATCTTCAAAACTGCTTATTATTCATTTTATTTACCTGTCGCTTTAGCCATGTTCGTTGCAGGTATCACTGATAGTAAAGATTTGAAACAAGCTGAAGATATCTTAATCCCATTAGGTGAATATTTCCAAATCCAAGATGATTACTTAGATTGTTTTGGTACCCCAGAACAAATTGGTAAAATCGGTACTGATATCAAAGATAATAAATGTTCATGGATTGTTAACCAAGCTTTGAAATTAGCCACCCCTGAACAAAGAAAAGTTTTAGATGAAAACTACGGTAGAAAAGATGATGAAAAGGAAGCCGTTTGTAAGAAATTATTCAATGACATGGGTATCGAAAAGATTTATCAAGACTACGAAGAAGAAATTGTTTCTAAATTGAGAACTGATATCAGTAAAGTTGATGAATCAAGAGGTTTAAAGGGTGAAGTTTTCACTGTCTTCTTGAACAAAATCTACAAACGTTCTAAATAGTTAATATCTCCCATTAATATAGATAAATCCGATGATGTATATATATAAAACTATATGCAAAAACTAAACATTGACTCTAGCTAATTCTTCTCTACCAGCTTTGGTGTAAAGATATTCATTGTAATCTCTAGCTCTGGTCCAGATGTTCCAAATGATGGCACCAGGAACGACAAGGAAGAAAATTTGGTTTTTGAATCTTCTGAAACTGTTGTAGAAAGCTCTGTTTAAGTTATCCTTGAATGGTTTGGTAGCGTATGGGGAAACAAAGTATTGTTTAACATACTTTTGTTTTGGGGAACCCATTTTTCCCCACCATCCTATGTAAGCGTGTGCATGAGGTCCAGCCATATTGATTTAGTTTGACTTTGGTTGATGATTTTTGAGAAATTGACTGAGAAGTTATTGGTTGAAGTTCCGGTATGAATTAAACTGCGGTTGCGCGTAAATTTTATCACCGTTTTGATAGCTATATTGTAGGTTGTTGTATTATTGAAACTATAACTATAGGGGTGAATAGTTGTCTTGATATATGTGAAAAGCTATTGGTGGCAATGTTAGTTAGATGAAGACAACGAACGAGCTTTTTTCATTGTAGTCCATTTGGTTGCAAAAGTCTCACCTATTTTCTGTTATATACCTATATGACTTTCACTCTCTGGCCAGATCGCTTACTTGACTACAAATGACTCTCATATTTCAACGTGGGTGATACTCACAGTACATGAAAGTTTTGAACGCACTGCCGTAGAAATTGGTACATGGTGAAATAGCAGGGCTTAGATAATGGAACTTGATAGATAGCGAGTTGAAAGAACCTGTCAAAGTCTTAGCGGTATAACATCCGACAACATACTGATTTCCTGTTATGGAATTTCCTTGAGGATCCGCTATTGACCTAATCGGATGATTCACCCAATTGAGTCGATCTGCCGCATCTCACAAATCATTACTCACTCGTTTGGCATCGTATATATAAATCTCAGACAGGGTATGATGGAAATTATGAAAGGGTTCCCATTTTTCACCATCTTTTGCATTGGTTTGCTAAGGTTTAGTGAACCTGTAGCTTTCTGTTCCTTATTTCCTTATATATATCGATACATCAAACAATTTGGCGTACCTGATGAGTCAGTTGCAATTTATTCTGGATATTTGAGTTCTATCTTCCCGTTAACTCAATTCTTTTTCTCAGTTCCTTTGGGACACATATCAGATAGATACGGATATAAGCCTGTGGTGATATTTGGCTTGTTGGGAACGGCATTTGCTATGTTGATCTTTGGTTTTGCCGGTAGTTATAAAGTCGCTTTTATCGCTAGAATGTTAATGGGAGCAGTTAATAGTAATGTAGCCATATTGAGAACCATGATTGGAAGTGTGGTGAAAGACAGAAACCACCAAGCGATTGCCTTTTTGATTATTCCTTTGTTGTATAATGTTGGGTCGGTCATTGGCCCTATGATTGGTGGTTCACCATTACTCGTTCCAAGTGGTTCACTTCCAGAAGACCCATCTTCGTATCAAGAGTTTATACATCAACATCCATTTGCCATGCCCAACATAGTGGTGGCAATATTCATTTTGTTATCTACGACAATTGGTATTTTATTTATAAAAGAAACAAATCCAAGGGCGACTTATAGAGATTATGGTTCTGAACTTGGTGATATGATATTGAAAAAGCTTGGTTTCGACCCTGAAATTAAAACCTCTGATTTGAATTCAGATACAACACAAATTGAAGGGTTGGAAACCGAAGAAAGTCCTTTGATACGAGATGTTTTTGAGTCGATAGAGAGTGACGAAGACAGCGATGATTCTGCATCTGTGGGACCTATGTCACCAAGGATTGCCAATATGGTAAGACGCTATTCGGAACATTCATCGATACGAGAAATATCTACCAACTATCAAATCTTGACTCCGCCAGTTATTCATTCAATTTTTGCAAATTTGATTTTGTTTTTCCATTTGACTATTCAGGCAGAATTTTTTCCAGTTTTCTTAGCTGGACCTAAACCAAAAATGTTGAAATTCCCATTCACAATGTCTGGTGGATTTGACTTATCAATAACGGAAATTGGAAATATTTTAGCTTTGACAGGTTTTTCAGGTATAGCAACTATGTTATTCTTCCCAGTTCTTGACAGATATTTCAAGAGTTCTATAATCTATCAAGTGTCAATTTTGCCTTTACCTTTGATATTCTTTTCCATACCTTTTGTAATGTTCACGATCCCAGAATATTCACATTACTCAAGTAAAGTTCATATATATTTGCTTTACAGTTTAAGTATATTATATGAACTCCTTATTTGCATAGCCATTCCAGTAATTGCATTGATGATCCATAGAGTTGCACCACCAAAGCATAAGGGGTTGGTAAATTCTATAGCCTTGAGTATGAGTTCGTTGGCCAGATCAATGGGCCCTATGGTATGGGGTTATCTTATGAGTTATTTTGACAGCATCAATTTTGGAGGGGGATCTTGGTTCATTTTGAGTGGAATCTGTCTTATCGCTGTTGTACAGAGTTTCTTCTTAATTGACCATGAAGAACATGAAGAATAAGTCAATATTTATTTATGATTTTACAATAATCTGACTCATATATCTCTTAACCTCTATTTCTAATGCTATATTTATTAAATGTTTTGTAAAACCAAAAATTTTACTGTGTTTTATTTCACCATATTAATGGTAATTTTTGCAGCTATGGTTGCGAAATTTACAAAAAATAATAGTAAAGACGAAAATGTGAAAATTAAAAGAATCCTTTTCTAGTTCCCAAAATCTGTGAAAGACTGATATGGTATGCCTTCAATAGGCTTAGGATCAATTCTACATGAAGAAATTTTAGAGTAGTGAAAAATTTTCAAGTCACCTGACCACTTAACGATGCACTTAATGATTCACTTAATGATTCACTTAACGATTTAACCTACGTTTGAATGGGTTTCCTTACATCAAAACAATATTATACATATTCAACTAGAGAAAAGGGAATGAACATCAAGTTCAAGAAAGCCTAGAATCAATATTCATTATATAATTACTAAGATAATACTTATTTTAATTAATAAATTTTATTTATTTTAATTAGTTAATCTTTTTTGAGCAGCTAATCTACCTCTTTGTCTTGAGTTTAATCTAACTTTTTTATCTTCAGTAGCTTTTTCAATTTCTTCATTAGCTTCTGATACAATTAATTCAATATGACAAGGAGATGATTGGTAAGCATTAGCTCTACCGTGAGCTCTGTAAGTTCTTCTTCTTTGTTTTGGAGCTCTGTTAACTTGAATATGAGTAATTTTTAAGTTGGTAGTATCTAAACCTTTTGATTCAGCATTGGCTTTAGCATTGATTAATAAATCTTTGACGAAACCAATAGATTTAACAGGCCATCTAGCTTTGGTGACACCAAATTCTTTACCTTGAGCAGTTCTACCGATTGAACCAGCAAATCTTCTCATTGGGATAGCTCTTTTGTGATCTAAGACTTGATCTAAGTATTTTAAAGCTTTTTCATAATCCCAACCATTGATGGCTTGAGCAGTTTCTCTGGTGTTTTTGAAGGAAGTTCTCAAGTATGAACCTCTAGCTGATGCAGATTTACTTGGATTAGTTGAATGATAACCGTATCTAACCATTTTAAATTCTAATTACAGATGAATGAAAAAAAATCTCAAGTAAAATTTTTCAAAAATCTCTTCTCACTATCAACACTATAGATTCTGCGAAAAAAGGGAGGGAGGTAGTGCGAGAAATCAATTTTCCTGCTGGCCCTGTTTATATGATGCGAACAGTCACAAGGGTTAGAGCCCTATTAGGTTAAACTTCAATAAATACTACATTCAGTTCATAAGTGAGTGGTTTATTCACAGTATGCACTTAAACCCGGTAAAGTTCGGTAATCCTCCATAGAAACAATTTCAATTATTTCAAAAAAATCAATATTTAACAAAGATAATATTTAGCATTTCCAGAATGCTTAGAGTGATCTTAATGACCTAACAGATAATACTTTCTTTTCACCTCCATTGACCTCTTTGTCGAACGTAAATTACCTCCCAAGCTAAATTATTTTAGATAAGAAATAAAACAGGAGTTGGCTTATTATTTCCACTCGTGATGCACGGATTTTTTTTAAATCCCGACATAATCCCTATTTTTTGTAAAAACGTTAAAACTCTCTATATAAAAAGCTTAAATTGTATGACAATAAAATGATTACATATAACGTCGTATAGACATTGATATAGAGGAATTCCCTTCGAAAGTTTATTGTAAAAAGTCATAAATGTCTTTTTGCAGTCATGGGTTTAATCGACAACTGGACATTTCTTTTTATTGTGTTAACGGGGATTCAATCCGATTTTATTGGGTGAATTTATGGTAAATACGAATATAGTCACTATAACCTACTTAATGACCATAATCTAGTAGTTAGATATGACCATATGGGCAAAGAGACTTGACTTGAAGTATTTATCAAACATAAATCTACATGGGAAAGTTAAAAATAGAGAAGCAATGAAACGAAATGGGATCGGAATATACGTTTTCGATAAGTACAGGAGGTGATGTTCAAATAAGATGTTCTTAACCCTCCTCATTTAAAGAAAATGTGAAGTCACCTAAACATGACCACCGAAAACTCTCAACTTATCATCTAATATATAATATGTATCGAGTCATTGACAGGAAAAAACCTAGTCACAGAACATCTAACAAACTAAATCTACTTCGAAATGCATCATTCAACAAATTAAATAGTGGGTTAATTAACTTTAAAGGAGATTGAATAAAATTTAATCTTAAATAGGAAATTTCGTATTTTATGTTATTTTGTATAGTAGAAAATGTCGGAAGAGATTATAAATTTCGTTTGCAACCAAGGATATTTCTTTTTGGGATTTCTCCTAATTTATTGATAAGTTTTTTATTTTGTTAATATTATTATCAAATATTATCAATACCATCAATGAATTCTATCATTAATGCCTTCAATACCTTCATTGGTTAGATAATAGGAGTTGAGAAAATTTCGCAAAGAAAATTCTCAATTTTGTAATCGACAAATTTTCAACAAATTCCATTTAATAGACAATTTATCAAATTGTAAGTTTTTGCAGCCATTTAATATAATTTGATTAAGTTTTTTTTTAAATATAATCATTTTGTCATTATAATCATCTAGGGGAATTTATTTGTGATTGATAAATTTGGAATTCTTAACAAATTAATTGATTAAATTTGTTTAATTATTTGCTGGTTAAAATAAACAAAGTTAATTTTTTAGTGACTTTCAAGTATTTAAGATAAATCAATAGAGTATTCAATCTTGTATAACAACAAGGGTGTAATTGTATTATTAGAGTTCTTCATATAGTTCATTTGATTAGAAAAGTTCAATAGGTAGGGAGTTTATTATGAGTGATATTGACGACGCGAAAGTTAGTGATATGGAAATTGATAATGGTATCAATTTTGATGATGATAATCTTGCATTAAATGATTCTAATGATATGTTGATGTTAGATATTGATGTTAAATCGGAATCTGATGAAAAAGATCAACAATTACCTGAATTGGATGAATCAAAAAGTCAATCTGAAGATTCAAATGATGTTGATGATCAATCGATTGAAGACATGATGATACAGGATTCTCCAAATGATTTCCAAAAAGATTCTGTACCTGAAATATCGTCAAAAGGTGATTCTGGCGAAGAAGAATCTTTAAAACCTTCAGAATCTTCATTACCTACCATTGATGATGAAGTAAGTATTCAAGAAGTTTCGAAAATAAGTGATAAACCTATAAAGGAAGAAGTCACCGATGAAGGAAACAAGAATGAAGAAAGCAAAATCGGAGGAAATAAAGATGAAGATAAAACTGAAGAAAATAAGAAACAAGCAGAAGAAGCTAAAGAAGAATCTAAAAAGGAAAAAGAAGAATGGTTAGAACCAGAAATCGATGAATCAACTGTAAGACCATTCAAACAAACTCATACTGTTATTATACCTTCATATTCATCATGGTTCAATATTGATAAAATAAATAAAATAGAGAAAACTTCATTACCAGAATTCTTCAAAAATCATCCATCAAAATCACCTAAAATTTATATTGGTTATAGAAATTTCATGGTCAATGCTTACCGTCTTAATCCCAATGAATATTTAACATTAACATCATGTAGAAGAAATTTAGTTGGAGATGTGGGGTCAATTATGAGAGTATTCAAATTTTTAAATAAATGGGGATTAATCAATTATCAAGTAAACCCTACATTCAAACCAAATTTCAATTTAGAAAGATTAGCAAACGGAAATTTAGCTCCATTACCTTTCGCTGGAGAATTCAAAATTAGTTATGATACCCCAAGAGGTTTATTCCCCTTTGAAACTTATAAAGTTAATTCTGATTTAAATGTTGAAAAATTAAAACATTTAATTACAAAATCTGGAAAAGATTTCAAAAATAATGATATTAAAACTAATGAAATTAATGAAGATAATGAGAATAATGAAAGAATTAAAAGGGAACAAAATTTCGAAGATGAATCACCAAATAAGAAAGTAAAAGATAATTGGAATAATGAAGATGAATCGAAATTATTAAAATTGATCAATCAATATAAAAATGATTGGTTTAAAATATCCAAAGAACTTGGTAAAACTCCACAAGAATGTATTTTGAAATTCTTAAAATTACCAATTGATGATAATTTTTCAAAATTATCAATAAAAGAATTCGAATTGATGAAATTTTCATCCAATTTCCCTGTTAATAATATCGATAATCCAATCATAAATAATTTAATTTTCATGAGTCAATTGGTTGATAGTGATGTAGCTAAAGTTGCAAGTGAAGAAGCATCCAAGAAAATGCATGAAAAATTATTGGAAAAATTAAATGGTGATGAAAAAATTGATGAAGATAAACAAAAACAAGAAATCAAAGATATTGAAGGATTAATTAATTCAACATTATTTGGTATAATTGGATCAAAATCATATCTTTTCTCCAAATTCGAAGAAAGAGAAATGTTTAAGATTTCAAATTTAATCATAAATCAAGAATTAAACAAGATCAATCTCAAATTAGATAAAATCAATAAGTTAGAAAAAATCTATGAAAATGAAAGAAAACAATTAATTAAATCACAAGAAGAAATATTCATTGAAAGATTAAATTTAACCCAATCAACAATAAGTATTTCAAAGAAATTTCAAGATATTATTAAAACATTAGAAAAGAATGATATTTCATCAGAGATTAAACAATCATTAAATGATATCAAATCATTAATCTTTAAACCAAATAAATCAATATTAATTGAAAATGATAAAACTGATGAAAAAGAAGTTGAAATCAATGATATAATCAATCCTGTATCAGTTACAGATCCTCAAAATTTTAAAGTCTGGGTACCTTAAGTTAATAATATATATATATAAAGTTCTTTAAATCTATTTAAGGCAGTCAAAATCTGTTGTAGGAAATGTACCTCCTCAAAATTCTGCTTAAAAAGGAAATTTTCATGTGACATATTTTTGTAATTGGTCCTCTTCTTTCACACTAAACAGTAATAAATATGTTAAGGAGATGACTTCATATGACAATTTATTCCTCGAATTATGAACCTTTACCCGAAAAACTCACTAACGCGGTAAATTTTTCCTGTTTGGTAAGATGAGGTTTCTTACATCACCAGCAATAAAGCAACCAAATAATGTCAATCAATATATAAACATTCTCTGTAAGTAACATAATCAGTAAATTCAATTAGTATCTCTACAATGTACAATGAAAGATAAAATTGATAAAACTGTTGAAGAAATAGGTGACGGTCAAGTTGACCAATCTATTAAAGACGATATGAAGATAGAATTGAAAAGAAGTTTATTCAAAGTCAGTAATGAAGACATGAAAAAAGATGATGTTAAAAATAACCTTGATAAAATTAAAGAATCTTCTATCACAGAAATACCTGTTATTTTAACTGTTGATGATACCAATTTTTTATTAATTCAAAATGATGATATTTCTGATGACTTAACCAGATTAGTTGCCCTTTATGATTCTAATATCTTGGATTATGATATTGTAAAATTATTTAATCTTATAAGAACGGATGATGATTTGATTGAATTACATAATCTTACTGATAGAGAAGAAATGGTACTTAAAATACCTGCTTTAGATATTGTTATAACAGAAGATAATATTTATGCTAGAGATATAAAAGTTAGTGATTTTTTGGTTATATTCAAGGGTTTAAAACTTGGAGGCAATTTAAAATTCATTATCGATAGGAAGGAGAGATTCATAACAAGGTTTAATGATTTACATGATGAAATTAGACTGAATATTGAACTGAAGAAGAGGAAATTACAATAAATATAGGAAACATGGGACTGAATTATGGAAGGAATTGATGGATGGTCCATCACCATAATTATTTATCAAAAGAAAGAAAGAAAAAAGATTAGAATATGTATTTTATGTATTATATTAATCCAACAGATTTTAATTTTTCAAATAATTCATTATCGATGTATTTCTGTAAGGTCGCTTCTCCAGGGATACCTTTTCTATTTCTTGTTTTGATCATAAAGTCTCTAGCAATTGATTCTTGTGGAACGGCTTTGAGTTCAGGTAAGTAAACGTCTTTATCTAATGGATTACCTGGAACAGTATCATAATTTAAGTATTTAAGATAAATCATTGCTTGTCCTGAGGTTTTCAATCTGATATCTGTTTCTAATCCCATGGATTCTATCACTGGTACGTTTCCTGTTAACTTTAAAAGACTTGTACCTGGTATTTCTTCTGTAGAGGAGAAAATTCCTCTTCTATTATCAATGATGTTTTTGATGGCATTACGGGCCTTATATGAAGTTGTTATATGGAATTCGTAGATTGGTTCCATTAATCTTGGACTAGCTGTCAAAAATCCAGCATAACATGCTTTTCTCATCATGGGAATGGTTCGAGATCTTTGGATATCTCCATTAGTTACAAGATCCAATATCTTAAATTTGGTATTCCTTATGATTTCTCCAACCAAAGGACCTTCTTGACAACTCCATTGGAACCCCGTTTCAAGAGATGGCCTTAATTCTTTAAGACGAATATCTTTCTCTATAGTATCATCGATTAACAAACTTGGTTGGCTATCAGGTGTAAAGGTCCATATGGATCTCGCTTCCAAGATATCCATTCCTGATGAAACCAATTTCTTTGCTGATGTTCGGTCTTTTAAATCTATACCCTTTTCAAGAATTCTTCCAATCGCTGGCGTACTTGGTTCAGCAATAACTGATATATTACAATCCCCACCAACACTGGAGGTTGGGATTTTAGTTACTGATGATTCTGAAACAGTTTCACTAAATTTAACCATAGGATCACTAACTCTTATTTCAAAACTGTTCCCATAAAAGTTTCTTAAATCATGCAACAAACAATCCATCATTAATTCTCCAGTTCCTAATATGGTCAAATCCCCACTATCTTCGATTTTTACCACTGATGAAAGGTATGATTTGGAGACCTTTTTGAGGATTTCGAGTAGAATGGGTAATTCTTTGGGATTCTTTGGTTCAATTGACACTTTAAACACTGATTTGGTAGTAAGATCCATAAGCTTATATTTGGGATCTTCCGTAGAACTTATAATCCCTTGTTTGTTGACAACTTCAATACCCTTAACTAGTATCAAGAACCCTGGTCCTGACGTGTTAATGGCAAACTTATATCTTCCTCCACTAACATACATCTCTTCTATCTTTGCTTTTCTTTTTTCATCTTCAAAAATGTTAACTTCATCACCAATACTTAAACTTCCACTGAACACTCTCACCAATGAGTAAAAGTCATCACCATCAGAAGTATCTATCAGTTTTATTATCCTGGCGTCCAACACCTCAGAATCATCCACTGGGTTTGTAGACTCAGTCATCACATCTATGAACCCTTCAAGATTAAAAATTCTTTGCATCACTTCGACCAATACACTTTTGGAATCCATTTTATACACCTTCTTCGGTATTTCAACTCCAAAATTCTCCCATAATAAGGTCTTCAATTGTTTGTTCTGGGTTAATGTGTAAGTGAAAAGCTTATAAACTGGTTCTAAAATGAAATAAACAAATGATCTATAATCCTTCTTTAATTTGGTAAATTTATTCAAGTCTGGATCGAAGTAATCATCCCATAATTTGTTCACTAACAAATCTTCATCAATGGGCCATTGATAATTCTTAATGTATAATTTTGCAAAATCTCTTAAAGTGAAAGTTATGCCGTAAGAAGATGCAAAAACAATGGATTGTGATTTAATGGTAGGAAAGCCAATATTCAATTCATGATTGGTGATATAATCATTGATATCATCGAAGATATAATGTAATTTGTAATAGGCATCAACAACCGGTAACCTTAATTCCATGATCAATCTATCAAGTTTGTTAAACACTACAACTAGATTTCTCTTCATTTTTATGATATCATCAAGGATCAATTTATCTCTGAAAGTTAAACCTTCTACCACATCAATGACGAGAACCACAGTTTCAACTGCTTGAAGGGATACTTGTACCTCTTCATCAAAGTTTATATGACCAGGAGTATCGATTATATTTATCATTTGAGATACTCCACTACTACCTGATAAAAGAAGTGTTATTGGTGATGATTTAATGGTAATACCTCTCTTGAGTTCCAATATATGATTATCAAGATATTTGGATTCTCCTGATATTTCATGAGTCTCTTGTATGAACTTATCTATCAATAAAGTCTTTCCACTATTCAAATTCCCTGTAAATGCAATATTTCTTACTCTTGAAGGTACAGAAAGTCCAGTGTTCACCATGTAGTCCCTTGAATATGTTAAGAGAGGTAAATTTTCATCCTCTACTTTGACTATTCTCTGTACACGAGGTTTTATCACAGGTTCTGAAGTATTTAGTATTTGTTGTTCTGGAGTTATGGTTGTTACATTATTACCAAATCTTTGGTTTATAGATGAATTAGCATCTTTTTGAATAATTAATTGACCAGAATCTTCTACATCGGACTCTTCATCAGGATTTGGCGGTATCAAATCATGTTCTGTCTCTGATTCTTCTGAATCTATCAAATTCCCAAATTCATCATATTCACTCATGTTGTGCGATGAGAATCTCAATCTCAAAATAGAAAGTAGAGTTCAAGTCCTATATATATACAATTCTAAGATAAAGTTTGATATCTTCTTAATTCATTTAATAAAGTCTGCAATTGAGCATCAGTAACTTTAGAAGCTAAACTTGGTATTAAAGATTTAGCTTCTTCAGCATCTTCACATTCTAAAGTACCTAATTGAGATAATTCGAAAGGATGTAAAGGTTCAGAAGCTGAGGAGCTGAAATCATTTAATAATCTCTCTACAGTTTCAGTTGATGAAGGATTTTTAAATCTGGCAAAATTCATTAAATAATTTAATGATTTATGAATTATTTCATTTGAATTAGGTCCAGCTAAATCCATATTTGATATTTCATCTTCTTTTTCGTCTTCATCTTCTTCAAATTCATTTCTTGGTTTACCTTTATTCTTTCTTTCCTTTAATGCTGCTCTAATCAATAATCTAGCTTCACTGGTATTTAATGCTATTAATTGTTCAGTTTTACCACTATTTGTTATTTGGTTTAATTGAAATTCTGGTCCTAATTTTAATGTGGCAGCATTTTCTTCATCATCTAATTGTTGTGTGGTGGCTTTTCTTCTTCTTACTCCTAAGGCACTGGTACTTACGTTCATAGTTACTAGATTGTTTTATAAAAACTTTTCAGATACACTGGAAATGGAAATTAAATGGAGGGAAATTTCAATGGTTGGTTGATACTTCAAATATACAATATTTTATACAAACAAAAGGGTCTTATCAAACTTAAATATTGATGAAAACTTATTATATTACAGATAGACTTAAGCTGGTAACGTCTATAAATTCGTTGAACTCGCAAAAAATTCTCAATACTTTGAGATGTCGGGACGACATTGCGACATCTTCAAATTTGAAAGTAGAGGTGAAAGGTTCAGATCAAATACAAAAAACTTATATTAAACTTCATTAAATTGGCGTCTCTTTTCGGGTTGATTACTTAATTCGACATTCTTCACGAATGGATGTTTTAAAGCTTCTTGTGGAGTTAATCTTTCTAATGGGTTGAGGGTTAAAACTTTATCTAAGAAATCTACCAACAATAATCTTTCTTCACATTCTTTTTCAATCATGGAATTGGTCATCTTTTTGGAAGGTAATCTGTAATGTAACACAATATCTTTCAATAATTTATGTTTGAAATAATTTTTATTCTTTTGTTCCTTTTTCAGTTTTTCTTCTTTATTTCTACTTTTCAAGAAATCAACATATTCATCGAAATTCTTGATAGTATAATTTGGTTTGGCATCAGGTCCATTGTCGATTTTATTGAAGAAATTCAATGAAGCTTTACCAACTTCAATCATATGTCTTGGAGGAACACCCAACATATCAACAATTTTCCAAATTTGATTATATTCCGAAGTCCCTGGGAATAATGGCAATCCTAAGAATAATTCTCCCACAATGCACCCTACTGACCACATATCAATGGATTCAGTATATGGTAAACCTAAAATTACTTCAGGTGAACGATAAAATCTTGATTGAACATATGAATAAATAGTTTCTCTAGTAAAACATGCAGAACCGAAATCAATGACTTTAATTTCAGGTTTGTCAGGTTGACACAACAAGATATTTTCAGGCTTTAGATCACAATGTATCATTTGGAAACTTTTCAATTGAGCCATTGATTCTAATAATTGTTTAGTCAAAATTTTCACTAATTTCATATTGAGACCTTGGAATTGATTTTGTTTGATCAATTCATATAAGTTGGATGCTAACAATTCAAAAACTAAACAAAGATGCTCTTTATGCATGAAAGTATCTAATAATTTGATGAATTTATTACCTGTACCGTGAGCATTAAGATATTCTAATAATCTCACCTCAGTCAATGATTGATTCATATAAGCAGGTCTAGATTTTATAACTTTTACAGCAACTACTGATTGATTCGATAAGTTTTGACATTTAACCACTTGTCCGAAAGTTCCAGAACCTAATAAATCCAAAACAATATATTTCCTACCTTCTTCTGTTCCCAATATGTCATTGACATATAAAATGTAATCACCATCTTCATTATCGAATCCATTGTTACATTTAGGTTCGGACGGTTTTGTTAATACTCTCTTAGGATTAGTAGTTCTTGAATATTGGAATTTCTTCGGTTGACATATGCTAAATGATTCGGTTAAATATACTGATAATGCATTTACAGGTGATATATGGATCAGATTAACTGAACATCTTCTATACTTTGGCTGTTGGTTTATTCTGGGTTTTAAATCAGTCTTATTATAAATCTTAGTTAATTTAGGTGCAGGTTTCCTTCGTTTAGTAGATCTTTGGTGTTGGACTATTTGTTGGTATTGATCATATTGAGCTACACTCTGAGATCTTCCATACCTATAGTTTACCTTGGGTGGTTGATAATTCAATGGATAATTAAATTGATGAGGAACGTTGTTGATACCTGAATTAACACCTCCAACAGCTGCATAATTATTATAAGCATTCGATTGATTATAACCTGCAACAGCCACCGACGACCTTCTATTATTGTTATAATTCATACCAGGATTGACATTCATAGTGTTATGATTAGGGAATTGAGGATTAAATCCTGGTTCTAGTTGATTAAAGTCGTTTAGTTTAGGATTACCGAAATTATCCACAGCTGCTGACATTCTTCTTTCAGGTCCCAATAATTGGACATCTGGGTTCGTATAGTATTGATTAAAAGGATTATCAGCTCTAGTAGGAGGATGAATAAAATTTGGGATGTTTTTAACATTCCCATCTTCATCTTCGTAAGTTACAGGTAATTGATTGGCAAAAGATAATCGTTTCTGTTGAGCTTGTTGTTGTTGTAAAAGTGGTATTGATGAAGTTTTAGTGGGACTACCACCACTATTGGCACTGGTAGGACTTGCTAAATTATTTGATAAATTATTTGATTGATTTGAATAGTACCATGGATTCCTGAACCCTGACATTGGTGCTTGACCGGAATTAAAACTAGGAGGTAGATTCTTAGAATTAATATTTAAGCTACTATTTGAACTATTATTCCCATCTGAAGGATCTTTCCCTAGTGGATCACCATTGAACCCATTTATGGGTGGTAAGTTCCAATTACCTCCAATTGAATTATGTCTATTGAAATTGCTATTATAAGACATGAGAAAATTCAATTGGTATTAGAATTTACTATCACTGTTATAATTACCACTGAACTAGATCAATAATATCAATTCAGGCTAAATTCGTGGAGAAATTGGCGGGTTTTTAGAACTAACAGATATTTGACAATTTTAAATTCTCTAACCCTCATTTTTGGCAATTGAGGATTTTGACCCCTTCGATTTTCGGAATATTACCATTTGATCTCGGGGTTGATTCCTGGAACTCAGGGTTGATTCCTTCAAGGTTAGATATATTTAAGATAGCAGAGTATGTTGTGAATCAAACAATAGTGGAAATGGTTAAAAATTTCACCAGAGAAATTTTGGAAACCAAATACCTATAACATTCTATGAAAAATCCTACAATCAACGATATATATCTTTATTTACAATATATACAAGGGGCATTAAGATCATTAATCTATGACGAAAATCATTATGAGTTTAACTTCGAAATAATCAAAGGGATAATTATGCTGATAATGGTTTAACATCTTCAGGGTAAGCTGGAGCAATAGGAGCTTGAGCAGTAAATCTTTGAACTAACATACCAACCCCTTCGAAAACACCTAATAAACAAGCACAAGTGATGGCAGAATTTCTAGTATGTCTCCAACCACCTCTAATAGCTAATGCACCACCGGTGAAAAAACCAGCAATGACAGCATTCCAAGCATCTTCCCTTCTTCTAATGGCTTTGACTGAACAATCGAAGGTGGAGAATAAACCACCCCAGACACCGAAATTACCTCCAACAACTGGAGCTCTACTTTTGATTGCCGATATAGTTCCATAACCTCTTTCTCCGTATGGTGAGTTACGGAATCCTTTAATACCGTGCCAAACACATCCACCAATAACACCCATGGAAAAGGCTCCACCGAAATCATTTAATATAACTATAGGACATGGATCTCTAGTATGATCGGCTGACATTCTTCTTTATCTGTTGGAAATTCGTTTGAAAAATTTTTTATGAGAATTTCTCATCTTTTGGTGTGGTTATCGCACGCTATCTAACACTTACTATCAATCCTAGTTTGAGCATATTATATTTATAAGGTAATGATTATATAAGAAAAAGGATTGATGACGATTTGGATGGTGAGATTGTTGGATCGTTTCGTTTCAAAACTTCAGAAAAAAAAAATTTCAATGATTTTTTGCAGCCTTTGGTGGATTTTACAGATTGTTGCAGCCGATGTTGCAATACTAAGGAAACCTTTTAATATAGAAAATAATACAGTTAATTTGTCAATTCAATGGATTGAGTCGAATTCTTCACCAAAGTTAGATCTAATTCACAATTATACTTTAGTGTTGTGCACGGGACCCAACGATAAGATAATACCTGTCCATACATTAGTATGGGAGGAGCAATTGGATAGGTACGAGAAACTGATCTTTTTAGAGGATGGAGTTTATTTTGTTCAAGTATATGCTAGAGGGTCGGACTTCTATACTATCCATTATTCAGAGAAGTTTGTGGTCGGTGTCTCAGATGGGTTCTATGAGAACCCACCATCATCAGTGATACATTATTATGGTTATTCAACGTCATTGGACGAACTGAGGATCCAAACAGCTCCTCCCTTCCCTAAGATAGGTTCGAAGATTACACAAAACAGATGGACGGGAAACAAACCCAAACCCACTGGAAATTTCACTGATTTGAGGTCTCACTATCCTGACTACGATTATACGATACTTCCCCTGGTTACGGCTTTCAAAGGGAGGAATTGCATTCGTCCAGCACCAAGAATCACAAATCACTATCATCCGTCACAAAGAATTAGACCTGCGGTGTTGAGAGAACGAAATGAATAAACGTCTATATATAATCCCTAACTTTTAAATCATTGCGACTGTTTCCCACTAGATCGACTAAACATTCTCTCGAGTAGAATCAGCATCAAAGAGAATTTCAGAATCGTCATTGTTTTTCTTGGTTGAACCAGTCATCACACTCACGTAACTTGGCAGAAGTGGTTTGGGGGGTTGAAATTCTAATGGTTTACCGTTTGAATCTTCGAAAACAATTTCGCTATCTTCATCATCACCAACAGTGAAATCTTCTAATCTATCCCTACCTAAAGCTTCGATATTATGCAATTCAAAATAATCCGAGTCTATTTTTGGACCTTCAAAATTCTTTTGCCCGTACCATTTATAACATAAGCTTGCAAATAACAAAAATCCTAATGTAACTACACTTGCATAGTTCATGTTATAAAAATGTAAATTCTTAACTACTGGAGGTAATGACAATGATAATGTTGATAAAACCATCCAGAAGCAAGACAATAAATTTATGAACCACCCTAATTTTCTTAATCTAAAAGCACCTCCCTTGATTTTTCTTCGTTTGTTTAACATCAATGCAACAATCGGTACACCATTGGATAAAGTTAATGTTATAACACATGCACCCATAAATGAGTTGAAAGCAGATTCAGAAATAATCGCTATACAAGGTAAAATTGCTGCTACACCCATTGATAAGAAAATAGCATTTTTTGGCACAGTATCTTCTTCGACTGCATCCACAGTGGTCCATTTTTCTTTATAAGGCAACCCACCGTCTCTTGCAAAAGCATAAGTAGTTCTAGAAGCAGCAGTAATTGAACCAATACCTTGGAATAAAACAGTACCTATCAACAACAAGATCAATAAGAATGACACCACGTAAGATTTGATAGCAAATTTGAAGATCAAATCAATAGGCATAATTTCAGGTGTGTCGTCCAATAACAAAGTCATCTCTGGTAAAATGACCAATAAAGGAATGATGAAAATTAAACCATTAACGAATGTAATTAAGATGGAAGATACCATACCTTTAGGTAAATTCCTTTCAGGATTTTTAACTTCATCTGTCATAGACAATAACATCCCATATCCATTCATAGTATAAGCAGATCCTGATAATCCCACTATGAAAGCCAAGGGAGCAGGCCAACCAGATCTTGAATTATCGAAATTGGTCATAATATCCTTGATTGAATGATTTCTTTCGGAAAAAATCAACAATAAAATATCAATGACCACAATTGTACCTAAAGACCAAATAATACAAGCTCTATTGATTTTTTCTAAATATTTGGAAAATTTATAATTTATAAAACCACAAAATGCCAACAAAATGAAATAAACTAATAATACAAGGAAGATGTCTTCTTTATAATAGGAATTCTTCAATCCGAAAATCGATAAAATGAACTGACTTCCTGAAAATAGTATGGAAACAATATAAGTCCATGAACCGATCAATAATAACCAACCAGTAAACCATGAACTTATAAGGGAGTATTTTTCATTACTTAACAATGCACTGAAATGGTAAACACCCCCTGAAGTAGGATATTTGGATATGATTTCACTAAGACTTAGGATCACACATAACGAAAAAAATGTAACCACTAACCATCCATATAACATTGTAACATTTGCACCATCAACTAAAGTTATCCACAACGTCGATGACATACCGAAAGGAACACCCATGATGGAGAAACCTAAACCAATGATGGATTTGACCGTTAATTTCCTATCCAATACCTGTTTATACTTGAAATGTTCAATTTTTTCGACTTCTTCTTCATCTTCTTGTAGTAAATTTCTCAAAAATCTTGCTGGTGCTGAAGTTTGAATTGAATTGGTGGGTATATATGATAAATAGGACGCCTGAGGGGCCTCAGGATGTGCTGCGTTTGTGTGTGTTTCAAATGGATTAACCGTTGTCGGCAAATCTCCATCATCAGCCATAACCAATGATTCCGAATCTAAGATGCGAAAAGCTGCCGCATGGATAAATTTCCCCTTAATCTTTCTATTGTGATAGCGATTAAGGGAGAGGTTGTAGTATAGCTGGACATACTTGTATCGGGGTAGAGTATATTGTTCATCAAGAGTTTTAAACAGATCATTGACTTATTCATTAATCGGAATCAGAATCACTTAATTCTTCTTCAACATATTCAAATACCGGTAAACTAACACTTTCACTAGTTTTCACTTGAATATTCTTGATCATTTTTGTGCTCTTAATTAATCCACCATGAGGATGTTTCTCCATGAAGAATTTCAATACATCATTGATGTTTTCTATTAATTTCTCGGTATTCCAATCTATAAAACCGATCTTCATTGATAATGAATTCCCACCTGCTGGTATTATGACATGTGTGTTTCTAGCAATGGAATTCATTTGTCCTTTAATATACTTTGCATCACACCTTTCATCTTTCAATTTATGAGATTTGGCAGTCTTTGTTAATTTGGCATTAGGATCAGGTTTAGCCATTTGTATTAAAAACGGAATCTTTTTGTTCTTGACATAGAATGTTTCACCTAAGACAGTTGGTAAAAACTTTGAAACTCTGAAATCTGCAACTATTAAATCAAATTCTTTGAAAATCTTTATTAAATTTTTTTGTTTGGAACTCATTTTCCTTAATCTTGATAATGTATAGATTTCATTGAAAACATCTTCTGTTGGGGAGTCTTTCTCTGTTAAAATATTTCTATATGGAGTGGAAGGATCTTTGGTGATCAATAAAATCAGTTTGTTTTCTAATTTGTCAAGTTTGTTAGTTAACGGTATCACTCTTGGAGTATATTCTTTGGATTTGATTAAAGGATTTATGGTGTTGATGGTGAGATAAACCGGTTCATTGACTCCAGAAGTTGATTGGATATGTGATTTCAATGACTTCAATGATTTCTTGGTCGATTTGAGTGAATCTGAACCTAACTTGAACTCCATCTCGATAGATTTTTCGCAGCTCATCTGAGTAGTTTGTAGTACAATCTATTAGAGGATAATACGAAGAGGTATGTTACTGAAGAAATAATTGAAAAGGCATGGTTTATCATACTTAGATATGATTCACAAGTACCTTACAGATCCAAATTGAGGTTCCGTCAATGAAGAAGGTCCATAATTAAGTCGATGCTGGGAATTGGGACAGAATCCAGGATGATGATTGGTGCTGATGATCTGGGACACCTGTGTATTCTTGTTGAAGTTTCAGATCGACCTGTGACAGTAGCCAAATAAGCACAGGTCCAATAAAGGATTCTTGAATCTAATTCAGACATTTTTCAGGAACATATAACCTGCATTAAATTTTCTCACGAAACAAGTAATTCCTCCCTTGGTAATTATAACGCTTCTTTGTTATCTTTCCCAAGGATTATCTCTTTCATCATTCACAGTACCAAAAAGATGTCATTCAACCTGCAGATTTTTACAATAAAAAATCGGCAATTGTTATTGAACCCAAAATTACCGAAAGCAGCAAACCATTACCAGACCGTCGGATTTATCTCAATGGACTTGTTATTGAATCATCTCCAGGAAATTTTGTTTCATTGTCGAGTCGGAGTCTGAATGTACAGATTTGGAGCTAAGATGAAATTGAATAAAATATCTCTTCCAATTTTTTAATGCTAAAGGGTCTTAGTTAGATCTCCTTTTACATTAGACGGATAAAATTAACCCCGAAAAGGCATTTTTTTTTAACTGAAAAAGGCTGATGTGCTATAAGAATTCACGTGACCGACGATTTCGCGGTACTTCAACATATTCTTTTACAGTTGACAATTGCTCTGGGTGTTTAAGTATTTATGTTCATTACAATATGAGTGAATATAATAATTTCAAATATTCAAACAATATTGATTCGCCAGATTTCAATAAATTATATGATCAACACTTTTTCGATTCTCAATTTTCAGGATATCTTTATAATCAGGATTCTAATGAATCTAATTATAACTCCAAACATTTAAATGAACCAGGCATGGAAGATAACAAATTTTACCAACCGGATTCACAGAACCATGGACTCAATCTACATCAGAATCAAATGAATCCAGCAAATACGTCATTATTCAAAGATTTCGATGGTTCCATAAAGAGGAAACTATCCGGGGAAGATGATAAAAAAGAGATTAATCCTAGGCCATTTCAACCTGTACGGCAAATTAGTAACCCTAATATTATTAAAAGAAAAGGCAGGCCTGCAATGAATAAATCATTATCTTACAATTTACCAAATAAGAATGAACATCCCTCATATTCTTATACTCATCAAATGGGTTCAACACCACCTAATCCGTCATCATTAAATCAATTCAAACATCAGCGATCAACTTCACAAAATTATCCTACTCAATCATTTCAACATCAACAACCTCATTCGTTACAACATGCGTATCAACCACATCAACAACTGCATCTTAATTCCCAATTAAGTCCTCCAACAAATCATTTACAAATTCACAAATCACCAAATCCACAATTGGAAAATCAATCGCAACATTTCGACAAACCCAAGGCCAAGCCTTTCTTTCCCTTGAATAAAAGGAAACCTAATTTCCATATCAATTTGGATAATTTATCAAATTCTCCTGCATTAAATTCAAATTCAAGTAATTTAAGTATTGTAGATAATGATTTGAATTTTGATGATAGATTTGAAAATGTGACTCCGAACATGAAACCTCCAGGAACAAAAGAAGATGATTATTTTGAAGATAATTTAATTCCTTCAAATTTTGAAGAATCCAATGATTTAACGGGATTCAATTTCAATCTCTACGAAGATAAGGGAACTTCTAGCTTTGGATTTGATAATTATAAGAATTTCGATTATCAGAACTTTGATTTATTAAATGAAAAATCTGATTATAAAGCCAATCAAAATGATTATCAAGATAAGCAAGAATTAAATTATTTTGAAAGAAATGATTTTGGACCTCAATTCGATAAGAATTTTGAAATATTCTTAGACAGAAGTGAAAATGAAAAAAATGAATACGAACATTATGGAAAAGCTGAATTAAGTAATGAAGAATTTGAAAATAGAGATAAGAAATCCCCTTCAACACCATTATCAAATGATATTTCTAATGATAGTCCAACTAATAGTAAACTTAGTCCATATTCCAATAATCAATTAAATCCTGAATATTTAAGTACCGAATTATATAGAACAACATCCAATCAACTGAATTCATCAATTAAATCAGGTGATAAGAAGAAAAAGGTAACACCAAAAGGAGCTACCTGTCCAATTTGTGGGAAATATATTTCAAGAGATTTAAGTAGACATTTAAGAATCCATGATGAAAATGGTAGATTTAGATGTGTATTCCCTAAAATATGTTCTCATAAAACAGGGAAATTTAATCGTCCTTATGATTATAAGAAACATTTATTACATTTCCATTTTAAATTTGATGATCCAAAGGGTAAAGCTGCCACCAATTTAACCGATAAATTACCATTAATGGGTAATTGTAAAGCATGTAATTTTAGATCTGATGCTAAAACTTGGATTGATGATCATGTTTTAACTACCAATTCCTTAGTAAGATGTCGATTTGTAGATGGTTCACCTGATTCTACTCAATAATTCTCATAACCTTACATACCAATACCCAACATTCCATTTATTAAGTTATTAACTTAATACCCAATCATATAAAGACCGACACGAACTCATTCACACAATATATAACCCTATTTATAACATCGTTTCTGTTTTAACTACTAACGGCTGCAAAAAGTGCGCATTGAGCAAATTTAATTACCGATTTGAAAATACTGCAAAATAACTTACTGAGATTCGCTAATTATTTAATGGATTAAAATCCTTTAAATATTTAAAGATTATTAAGATTTATAACATATAATGTCATTATTCAAAAGACACGCCGGTCACGATCATGGAGCTACAAGTTCCACTGAAGCTTCTTCAACTATGCATATGGCTATGGATATGGCGTCATCAACAATGGATATGATGATGTCTGAAACATCTGATGCTATGGATTCAATGGATTCAACTCATTCAATGGATTCTGATATGTCAATGACAATGTATTTTCAAAAATCATATAAGGATATTCCAGTTGTTTTTGAAAATTTAAAAGCCAATACTGGTGGTAAAGCTTTTGGTATATTCATCTTACTTTTATTCCTTGGTATTGCAACTAGAGGTCTTGAATTTCTTAAGAATTATCTTGAACAAAGAGTTTGGAAGAATGAAAATTATATAAATCATTTTGAACCTGATACTGAAAGTGATGATAAAACTGATGGAATTATAACACAAACTGTTAATACTAAGAAAACTAATATTCCATCAAGTTTAGTTAAAAACTTCATAAGATTAGTATTATGTTTCATACCTGAAATGTTAGGTTTTGCTTTAATGTTGGCAGCTATGTCATTTACTCCAATTTATTTCTTTGCTGTAGTTGCAGGATTATCAATTGGTAGATTTGTATTTGAAAGATTATCCGATCGTTTAAAATTAAGACCAGTAGCTAATGGATTTCATTGTTGATCAAGAGATTCCCTTGTAAATAGTTAATATCACGTTATAGATTTCGGATATTTATATTTCATTAATTAGCTCTTAATTTATTCAATAAATCATTGTATTTAGAAGTATTGAATGATGAACCATTACCATCAGCTAACTTTTCACTATATAATAATCTAGCAAAGTTTTCTCTTTCATCCAAAGGATAGTCTTTTAAACTTTGTACTAACAAGTTTTCATTAATTGTAAAACAATTGAAATAATATGATGAATATTGGAAACTTATAGCTTCATTATCTTTAGATAAATTTTTCAACATTTGTTGTAAGGTGAAGATATTAATCAAAATCTTCTTAACCCCATTATTATTGATCTTTCTTATAAGTTTTGAACCTTTCAATAATGCTTTGTTTAAGAATTGATGGAAACCCACTAAAATATGATGTAATTCTGAATTATCAAAATATTGGGAGATTTTATTATCAAAAGCAAATATTTCTTTGTTAAATTTCGATATGAACTCATCAGAATTTCCTGGTTCATTGAAAAGAACCCAATCACTAAATTTGAAGGATCTTGAAATATAGTAAATCGAATTTAATCTCAAATTGTATCTGATTAATATGATGGAATTTAGTTTGATTTGTTGGAATCTTCTTAAGTATTCGTTGAATTGATTCATTTTAGTAGTATCTAATGATAAGTAAATATTTAAATCACCTTTGGAAGGATCAGGTTGTGAATTGAAATTGACAATTTTCCCATTTTCTAAGAAATTCCAATCATATTTCAATTTTTCAATGTTGGATAAATTGTCTTGATAATTATAATTGATTTCTTTCTTAAAGTTAGGTAACCAATTCAATATCCAATTAATAGTTAAAAGTAAATGAATCAATTGGGTGAAATTCTCTTCATCTAATAAATCGTCTTTATCAATGTTGAAGATTTCTCCATTACTTAACATTATTTGGATTTCCTTTTCAATCATATCATCAATAGAATCATAATCATCAGTTACAATCTTTTTAGATAAATCATTTAACGCAGGAATTTTGAACCATAAGTTCAATTTTGAATTACTATTACCAATCAAATCGTTGTATAACTTTTGATACTTATCCATGAAGAACTCAATAAATGATAATACTAAATCATTCAAATCCGATCTATAAGTCAATGAAGTATTCAATAATTGACATAAATTAACAAAGAATGACTTGAACTCCAAGGAATTCTTAAATATCTTATCATTATCAACGTTGGTAGTTTCAATATTAAATCCATTGATATTATCAGTATTGTATTCAAAAATGAAATCATTGAACTTCAAAATCAAGTAATTCTTCAATTTAGGTACAAACGATTGTTTCATGAAAGATTCAAAAAAGTTTATAGGAACCTTATTTATAGGATGACTATTCAAATTGACAAGATAATTGGTAGATGATGTGAATATAAGAAAAAATTCCATTATAATTCTCATATTGGTGATGTTTATAGGTACCAAAATTTCGAAATTTGATTGGAATGATTCATTCTTTATATATAAATCATCATTATCAACAGTAAAATCAGGTAAATTGGAACTGAAATTTAATTTTTCAAGATTCAAATTATCAAATTTGAACAATTCATCATTCTTTTCATTAGCTGTTTTATTTTCATCAGTGGAAATATAATTTATCATCAACGTAGTTAATTCATTTTTAATTGTATCCCAATTACTTTTGAAATCCAGTTGAATTCCAAAAGTCATCAAGATTTCATTGATTATCTTTTGATTCTTCAAAATGATCAAACATTTAATGAAAATCGTCAGGAATAAGTTTTTCAAAATCTTAACTGAATATTCATTGAACTCATTTAATTCAAAATTGATCATTTTATTTAATTTGTTGATTTCGAATAAATTTTTCAGTTTAATCTCTTCAATTGATCTGAAGATTAAATTGTGAATTTCTTGTTGATTGGTTTGATTTAATAAATCGATTCCTTGATTTAAACGATTCAATTTAAATAATGTGGTCAATAATTGATAAATATAATAATACCGTTGATAATTATTGGATAATTCTATGGTTACAGATAAATCCCCCGATGATGTTGATAATTTAGGTAATTGATATTCAACAAATTCTTTGAAATCTTCATTAAGAACATTGCTTATTTCATCTAAATCTAAATTGGCAGCATTATAAATGAATTGTTCAAAATTGTTCAGTCTAGTTAAGAAGTTTCTAAATGTTGATAATTTAGGATTATTCAAATTTATCAAACTTTCCCATGATAATTCCATAGAATTGATGGCGGAATTCTTTATATAGATTTCATTCTGTAACTCTTCAAAAATTATATCAAATAATGCATTTGATTGAGTATCTAAATAATTCTTATTACTTGTCATAGCACTTAAACTCCATAAGTTATACTTTTCCCCCACTTGATATCCTTGGGAAATAACATCATATATTTCATGAATTTTCTTGTCAGCAGTCAATTGGTCGATTTTACTAGGTATTTGATTAATGAATTCCATAGCATCTAAGATTTCTATCATTTCATTATATCTACTTGATGTTTGGTTCAATTCTTGCAAGATATCACTTTTATTATGGATTTCTTTACTGGTACTTTCCAACATCTCTTTAATATCTTCAGCGTCGGCTTGATTATTCTTGGATGTTGATAACAAATAATGATATGATCCCACACTAGTATTGAAAACTTCATAATGTTCATTGACTACTTGTCTCAATTTATTGGTGGTGTCCTCACTAATTCTTTCAAACTCAGGCATCTTATGGCTTAAACCTACTGATGAATCATCAAGTAATAATATGGCCATTTCAATCGGATTGGCATCTTCTTTTAATATTTGTGGCCATTCATATTTAATATAATTCATAGATTCTCTTAAATCTACAATCGATTGATTGACTTTTCGAGTATTCATACTGGCAGTTCTACTACCAAATCGACTCCTGACACCTTCATCATCTCCATTGGTAGGTCCATTACCATTTCCACTCGATGTTCTATAACTTAACCTTCTCATGGTGAAGATTTGTTGATTCGCGATCTAATGGAGATTATAAACTTAGATTCATCCGATGATGATTTGGGGGTTCTGTTTGGGAAAATCGTCGATGTTAACAAGGAACGAAGTATCCATGTGATAGAGTATGTTTATAAGTTTTAGATTTTGTTAATGAATACTAACTTTTAGATCTTCCCCAGTTTCTAAACGACCTATACTGCCTTTAAACAAACGCCAAAAAGTTGAGAACTATATAAGCGATTATAAACCTTTAAGTGTGAGGAAGAGTGTGGACGATTCTCTTGATCTTATTAACATAGAATCTGATGAAGAAGATCTTCTTGTGTCCAAACCAATTTCTCCAATAAAGCTGAAATTGAATAATTTAAAGGATTCTAATGTTAGGATCAAGAAATCAATAACGTCTTTAACTTTAGGCCAACATCCTTTATTTACTCCAGAATCGGATCCGTTGTCTGAAAGCAGTTTCATTTTCCAGCTGCCTCAGCCTGGACTGGAGAAAGAAGATCTGGTGGTGGGTTTCAAGACAAGTAGCGAGGTAGATGAGACAAGCAAGACAAGCTCAGAGACAAGCAGGAAGACGACCAAGGAGAAAAGTAACGGGACAAGCAGGGAGACTAGCATTGAGACAACAAATAAGACACAAAACAAGACACAAAACAAGACACAAAACAAGATACAAAACAAGACACAAAGTAAGCCAAACCCAATTGCAATCTTCGCCGCAGGAGCTGATATAGATCAGAAATTACTAGAAAAAGTCAATATAAAGAAAAGAGATAGGGCTGAATTGATGAAAGAAATGAAAATAATCATTCCAGAATCGATTTTCGAATATGTCAAATATGATTTCCTCAAAGAATTACTCACCGACGAGGTTGACGATAAAGGCAAATGTATATCTTCACCCAATAAGGGCCAAGATGAAGGGAAAGTAATTGAAACCACCAAGATAATAAAAATTCCCAGTAAGTCATCCATAATACGATGGAAAAGATACAGTGAAGGAAGGTATGATGAAACCAAAGATTTGTTCATACCTTGTGATCCTGAAGATCAACAAGAAAGAGCTACAGTCCTCTTTTATATGATACAGGATTTCCTTGAATTGGACGATTCAGAGATTCACAAACAAGTCAATCCCCATACAACCTTATTTTTGGGTAATTATCATAGACATATCAATGAAATCAAAAGAAAAGAGGAGTCGGATTATAAGAATCGAGTTCAATCCCAACAACCTACGATCGCAAGCAAGAAAACTTCAGAGATTCAAGAAATCGAATATAGGATTAACAAACTACAGTATCAATACAATTTGAATATCGTTCTTTTGAGAAGCGGCGATGAAATGGCCAGATACCTTGTGGATTTGACTTACTCTTTAGCCTTTTCAAAGTATGATAGGTATGAAAGGAATCCTGAATTAGGAAACATCATCAAACCCAAAACTGGTCATGATGATAAATCTACATTCATTAAGCTGTTGGGAAATTTCAAATTTATGACGGAACCAAAGGTCGAATTGTTGCACAGCTATTATGACAGTTTACCTAAAGTCTATGAGAAATTTAAAAATGGTAAAAAACTAGGTAATGACGATGACGGCAGGAATTTAGTACCACCATCAATTGAAGATGCCATGAAGAGGTTCTTCACATCTAATGACGAAAATGAGATATTTTATAGTTAAAAGTATCGTAATGTACATATCTATTTAGTGATAGATTCTATAGCTTTGAATTCTGTAGGGTAATCTTCTTTTAAATGCTGTATTTGTTTTATTGAAGATGTTAATTGTGATAATTCATCATCATCGAATTTATAATTCAAATTGATCAATTGATTCAAGTTTTGTAAGGATTTTTCACTGCAGTTTATGTTAGATGACAAGTTATCAATGATGAAGGAAATCACCTTGAATTCATTCAATTTAGGTTCAATTTCTGGTTTGAATTCTTTTGTATTGGAAATGATAGATGATATAACTGATAATAATCTGATATTGAGTTTATCCTTTTGTTTAGAATCAACATCTTCAGGGGCTTTCAAAATCTCCCAACCATTTAATTTATTGAAGAATTTAAATGAGTTCAAATTGTTTCTGATCAATGATGAGATGGCAAATAAAACTTTCAATTTCAAAGTGAAACTGGCATCAGGGTAAATGGCCAACAATCTTTCAAATCCATCATATTTCAAGAAATCATCTTGAGCTTTATCATTATTTTGTACGGCTATGGAAATGATGGAAACGGCTAAAATCCTTAAAGAATCAGGAGTTTCACCATCTAAAAGTTTAACTATGGATGACCATAATTTCATATTTTCAATATTATTAGCATTATCCAAGTTTTCGATCAACATTTCGAAATTCTCTAAAGCAATTTCTTTATCTTTTAATTCAACAGTAGGATCATTAACGATATCAATGGATTGTTTCATTAAGGTTGGTTCATCAGGACCTCCGAATAATTGTGAAAGGACTTTTTCATCTGGCTTACCAATCTTTTCAATGGCTTCTTTATCACCAGATTGTTGAGCAACTGACCATGCTAATAACTTATCCATTTTTGATAACCTCTAACTATCGCAGTATTATAAATGGTTGCAAGAGATGAGGTGCGAATTCGAGAAGGTTCTGGAAATTTAAATGATAAGGTGGAGGTAACCTTAAGAGATGATGGTGATGAAACATATGTTACACAAGAATAAGGGAGCATGAGTTCAAGATCCATGTAGGCATTCAAAGTGAAATTTGTGGTTTTTTCAAATTCAAGGTTTATGTCTCATTTCGCAACCATAATGAACCCCAACTTCCCGAATAGTCATGGATACTTTAGTATTAAAACCTTCAAATCTTGATCTTGCCCATACAATAATAACTTTGATTACCCATGTGTCTATCATCACTTCCATCCAGGCCGTTAATATTCTTATACATTAAGTTCACTGAATCAAGTGATTTCATATGAAAATCACCTGACGGTGCCTCTGATCCGAAATTTGAAAAATCCTCCCAAAAGCATAAGTCCTTTTAACCATTACTTCTAAAACAAAACTCCCGGGTAAAGTAGTTATATGTAGAGACATTCAGGTGAATTTATGTCCCTGAACCCCAGTGTCTCCCTTCCCATATTGATGATTCATATTCTTTAACTTCTTTATCCTTTTCATCCATATATATCTACCAACCCTTACTCTATCAACACTCCCATAGTATTCATCATATATTTCGAATCAGTTGATACGGATTGATGTCGTCCATTTTCTACTGTACCTTTCCACGACATCTGATATGATTTAACCTCACCAGATGGACGAAATTTAAAATTATATAAAGGTGAATAATTATTTTATAATTCATAATTGTTTATCAATTGATTAAAAGAATAAATATGTCATTGTCAAATAAGTTAAGTGTAAAAGATTTAGATGTTGCTGGTAAAAGAGTTTTCATCAGAGTTGATTTTAATGTCCCATTAGATGGTAAAACTATCACCAACAATCAAAGAATTGTTGCTGCTTTACCAACTATTAAATATGTTTTAGAAAACAAACCAAAAGCTATCATCTTAGCTTCCCATTTAGGTAGACCAAATGGTGAAAGAAATGAAAAATACAGTTTAAAACCAGTTGCTGATGAATTATCTTCATTATTATCTAAACCAGTCAAATTCTTAGATGATTGTGTTGGTAAAGATGTTGAAGAAGCTGTCAATGCTGGTTCTGATGGTGAAGTTTTCTTATTAGAAAACTTAAGATTCCACATTGAAGAAGAAGGTAGTAAAAAAGTTGATGGTGAAAAAATCAAAGCTTCAAAAGAAGATGTTGCAACTTTCAGAAGTCAATTAACTGCCTTAGCTGATGTTTACGTTAATGATGCTTTTGGTACTGCCCACAGAGCTCATTCATCAATGGTTGGTTTAGATTTACCACAAAAAGCTGCTGGTTTCCTTATGGCTAAAGAATTAGAATATTTCGCTAAAGCTTTAGAAAACCCAACCAGACCTTTCTTAGCTATTTTAGGTGGTGCTAAAGTTTCCGACAAAATTCAATTAATTGATAACTTATTAGATAAAGTTGATTTATTGATTGTTGGTGGAGGAATGGCTTTCACTTTCAAAAAAGTCTTAGACAATATGTCAATTGGTGATTCATTATTTGATGAAGCTGGTGCTAAAAATGTTGAACATTTAGTTGCTAAAGCTAAAAAGAATGGTGTTGAATTAGTCTTACCTGTCGATTTCGTCACTGCTGATAAATTCGACAAAGATGCTAACACTTCAACTGCTACTCAAGAAGAAGGTATTCCAGAAAACTGGATGGGTTTAGATGCTGGTCCAAAATCAAGAGAATTATTTACTGCTACTGTTGCTAAAGCTAAAACCATTGTTTGGAATGGTCCACCAGGTGTTTTCGAATTCGAAAAATTCGCTACTGGTACCAAATCTTTATTAGATGCTGCCGTTAAATCTGCTGAAGAAGGTAATACTGTTATCATTGGTGGTGGTGATACTGCTACTGTTGCTAAGAAATTCGGTGTTGTTGAAAAATTATCTCATGTTTCAACTGGTGGTGGTGCTTCATTAGAATTATTAGAAGGTAAAGAATTACCAGGTGTTACTGCTATTTCTGATAAAGCTTAAATAATGTAAAACGAAATGAATATCTTATTTATCTTCCTCTATTTGTCTTAAGAGTGGGTGCTTCTCTTTGGGATAGAGACTTTTCACTCGTTCTTTAAAGTGCAGAGCTTCATCGTTTGTTCTCTCGAGAATAGAAATCTCCATATATCTTGTATATTTATAATTTAGCTTGTCCATTGGAAATTTTAGCCCAATCTTGATTTGTTAATTCCTTATAACCATCTTGATTGAACCAATAAATAGTTTCATCACCACTATCTCCTTTAGGTAATTTTTGTTTCTTATAAAGATTCTTAGGGACTTTATTATTATGACTAGCTTCAATCTTACCAATCTTTAAGAATTGAGGAACAGCATATTTTGGTAAAGTATTAACCACATGTTTATGAACCTTTGATAAAATTTCTGAAGTATCAAGACCATCTTTAGGTTCTAAAACGGCGAAACCAGCTCTACCTTCATGATTAGGAATTTGAACTCCAACAACAACTGATTGAACAATTGATCCTGAACCCATTAATTCGTTTTCAACTTCACTTGCTGAAACATTTTCACTCTTCCAACGGAAAGTATCACCTAATCTATCAACGAAATATAATAATTTATCTTGATCCATTCTTAATAAATCTCCGGTTCTAAACCAGGCATCACCTTTTGAAAACACATCTCTGATAACTTTTTTAGAAGTTGCTGATTTATTACCATAATAACCTTGGAAACTTTCTTCGATTTTTTCAGCATTTAAAATCTTCATTAATAATTCACCTGGTTCATTAGGTTGAGCTTTAACACATAAGCCTGAAGAAGGATCTCTCCAGATTTCTTCTTGATCATCAGGATCCATTTTGACAATGACTTGTTCTAATGATAAAACATTACTAATGATGGAACCGTATTTTCTACAAGCTCCAACTCCGAAATCCCCAAATTGTAAATTGGTTAAAGCGATTGGAGATTCAGTTGCAGCATAAAATTCTCCTACTCCATCAATATTGAATCTTGATTTGAATTCTTTCCAAATGTCAGGTCTTAACCCATTACCATAAGCGATTCTAACATTATGCAGTTTTTGATCAGGATGATATTTGGTGTTCAATAAATAACGACAAGTTTCACCTACATATTGAACATGCGAAGCATTGACTAATTTAGCTTGAGTCCAGAATGATGTTGCCAGGAACTTTTGGGATAATGAAACACAACCTCCAATTAAGAATGTGGGACAAACTGCCAACATAGCAGCAGTTGAATGATATAATGGCATAGCAGTCAAAACATTAGATTTCTTATTAATCTTCATGATATAACCGAAAAATGAAGCAGCCATGAATGCTTTTCTCCAAGACATAATACCAGCTTTTGGTAATCCTGTAGTACCTGAAGTATAAATCAAAGCAGAAGGATCGAAATCTTTATCATTAACTCTTCTGGTGTTATCAGGAGCTCTATATTTTGGAATTGAAGGATCTCTTAAAGTTTTAAATAATTCAGTTTCATTCAAATAATGTAACTTGATATTAGGTAATTCTTCATAGATTTGAGATTCAGTGGATTTGATTGGTTCCATACAATCAGGATCAATGAATACTTGAGAAACTTCAGCAATCTTAAGACAATGAACTAAAGCTTTGTCTCTGGTATTAAAATTCAAGAATGATGGTAAAGCACCAATATTCCATAAAGATAACCATAATAAGATGAATAAAGGTTTATTCATACAATCAATGGCAATAGTTTGATCAGCAGTTACACCATAATCATTCTTCAATATGTAACTGAATCTTAAAATCATATTGTAGAACTCTTTATAAGTAAAAGTTTCAACTTCAAACTGATCATCATATACTTTGAACCCATCAGAATCGATTTTGATTGGAGGTGGGTTTTTCTTTGGTCTTGGGAATGAAATACAAACATTATTTGGATATTTTAAAGCGGATTTCTCAAAAGTATACCAGAAACTAGCTCTTCCTCTTCTAACATTCCATAAGAATGGTAAAGCTGACCTTATGATTTTTTGAACTAAAAGGAAATCATCCTTAACATGGTACTTAGCTTCTAATAATTGAGACCCTAAAACGGCTGCCGTTGCTAATTCAATTGACATTTTTTAAATAAAATCAAACTACTAATGTTGGGGTTTATAATTACTTAAATAAAATTTCATATGGAGGAATATGGTGCACATGAAAAATGCGCATCATCATATGTAAGATTCGGTGGAATTAGTACCCAACTAGGGAATAGAGAGGGCCACCCCACCTTGATTTAGAATCTGATATGGTTGCAAGGATAGGATTTAAGGTAAGTTGAATTATTTAGGAGAGAACATGGGAATTAGGGTTTTAGCAGTATATGAATGTTCCGAGGATTTTGGCTGCAAACATAATTGCGAATATGTCATAGGGTGGAGATAACATTATTGTAACTACATTCTATATTAATCTATAATAAGAATTGATTTTTAAGTTCATTTTTCACTTTATCACCATCCTCAACTTCTTCAGTTTGTTCGGAATTACGATTCAAGAAAAGATTCAACGTGGATGATGAATTGATTAAATTCAAATTATTTGAAGATTTGAAATTTGATAATGATGATAATTTAGGTAGATTCATTGATGAATTGGTTTGTAAATTGGAATTGAATTGGAATAAGTTGGTTAAACTATTACTTGATCCTGTTCCAACATCATCATTAATTTGAGTAAACAAATTATATAGATTTTTGGTACTCTCACTAACATTTAAATTGATTTCACTTTCATCTTTCTTGTTTATAGCTGTTGCTGGGGTTATAATAGGAGGTGCAGGACCTCCACCTTGAATAATTGTTGAATAACTAGTGGAATTTGAATTGGTTAAATCGGATAATTTAGTCTCTTTTGGTTTTGGTGAAACTGGTTCAGGTGAAGGATTAGTTGTTACTACAATTGAATTAGGATTAGTTGAAGAATTTGAACTCAATTTGGAATTGCCAAAATCTTGTAATAAATCATTGATTTCAGATTTATCTTTAGATGATTCATAAGTCGAATTACTACTGATATGTTGGAGATTGATTTGTGATTGTTGTAGCTTATTCAATTGGAATTGTAATTGTTGTAATTGTTGAGGTGATTGTTGACTAATAGCTTGAGGGAAAGATGAAGTTTCTAATGTTGGATCAGAATTCGATAAGTTTGATGAATTAGGAAGATTTTGTGATAAGTTTGGATTGGATAAATTATTTGGAACATTTGGATTGTTCTGGTAAACGGGTACGGATTTACTTGTAAATCCAATACCATCATGTTTTGAAATATTCTTAACAGGTTTGGGATGATAAATATCAACTTTTTCCAAATTTTTCATTTCTTGGAACCAATCATAAACCACAATATTAGAACTAATGATTTGACTGATGTTCTTTGTTGTTTTAAAGAATTTAAACAATTTCTTAGTGTACAATACTAAATCTTCAAGGTAATTCAAATTATTTTCAAAATCAATATTTATCTTTAAGATCTGTAATAATTGTGGTAAAAGCTTCAAATTTGAAAATTTCAAGAAAACCAAATCACTGAAACTAATCAATGAATTTAAATTTCTAACTATTTCAATTAATTCTTGTTCAATGAAGGTTAATTCTAAGTTATTGGAATAAATCATTAAGGTTTTGAAGATCACTATTTGTATCAAGATTGAATGGAAATTACTATCTTTGGTATAATTTATCAAATTTATCTTTGCGTTCAAGTAACTCTTTGTCATTAAATTGTGTAAATCAGGATAATGGTTGATTTTGAAGAACTTATTCAAATTTTTCAATATATTGAATGATTTCAAGTTATTGAAGATCAACCGGTCATTATTAAGTAATTTGAAACATTTGAAAATAGCATTTGGAGAATTCAAATTAAATGTCATATCCAACAAATTAACAGATATTATGATTTCAGGATTAATGAAGTAATTGAATCTTTCAAGTACAAATAACTTTTCAAATAATTCATTCAATTGGAAATTAGTCAAATCATTCTTATTGATAATGAATTCATTCTTTAAATCTACAAAATTATAATAACTCACAGCTTTTCTTAAATATGTGACTTTACAATAGTTTGAATATAATTCGTTATGATCCTCAGAATCGATTTCTTCCTTATTATCATTATGATTATTATTATTGAATCTCGTTATAAGGTCAAAGTATCCGAATAAATTTATACAACTAACAGACTGATTATAGAAGATCTGGAAGTTATTATATTTCATCATGGGGAATAAAAGTAATTTATCAATGATGGAAAATAATTCGATTAATTTGACAAGAATGATATTCTTCAAATCCTTATAATATTCAATATTATGAATCTTGAAAGAATAATTCAATGTCATGTTTAGTTGGATCAATTTGATCAAATTCTCGATAATCAATAAATTGAACGATAAAACTAACAATACCTTTGATAAGTAATTAGGATCTTTATTGTTGAAGTTATTCAATGTTTTTATATCTTTATTGACAAATTCCACCAATTTATAAGTATTATCAATCAATGATTTAATGGTATATTCTTTTAAAATGGTGTTCATTATAGGTTCATTAACTAAATTTAAAATTTCCACCAATGTGGTACGATCTAGTTTATTATCTTTCACAATATTCTTATTGATTAGGGATGTTGTTAGGGATGGCGGTACCATTTCAATAGGATGATTAAAATGATTTGATGCTATTATAGTTTCGGGATTCTCATAATTGTTATCAAATTTCTTATTGACTTCGACTAATTTTTGTCTTTCTGATAAACTATTGATTGAATCCAATGTCTTTTGATGTAAATTCTTCGGTCCTGATTTCTTACGTTGTCTTAATTGAGTACAATTTAAATTATTTGCAACACAATGATGACAAGGTCTTTGAACTTCACATTTGACTTTCCGTATAGCACAAGCATCACAAGCTCTAACTGTACTTTTCCTCTTTTTCTTAGGTTGTTCACTATCATTCTTTGATACTTTACCTGAACCACTAGAATTATTGGATTCTATAGAATCTTGACTTTGTAGAACGCTCCCATCATGTAAACTTATTCCTAGGGGTGGTGATATCGAGTTATATTCGGGTGGGCTCATGTTCTCAGCCTCACAGTACTTGATAATAACTCTTCAAGTGTTAAAGATGGTTATGGTACAATATTATTGTGTTTCTTATCCTATAAAACCGGTTATAGTTTTGATGACTTGGAGAAATTTTCCACCCCTCCTCGCGAATTATCCGGGTCTCATAACATGTTACATTATGGGGCTTGATAGTTATAGGAAAGGGGTTTTTTGAAGATTTCAGAGTTGTTGAATGTTGATAAGGGTTATTGGTAAAATGGTTGAAACTCTCTCCCCCACACATTTTACGGTCTAAAGAAGAAAAAAATATTCTGGGGAAAATCTGGGGTAATCTATTCATATATATTGTTAAGCTTTTGTTGTAAAGTGATGAAAGCATCAATTGTTTTTTTCTTGATATCCAAAACTTTTTGCTGGGAATGAGATGGTGTAAATGATAGTTTTTGATATTTATTATGGAATCCATCACCTGATGCTATTTTCATCGCCCCCTTAGCCACATTTAACCCGTGATTATTGTCTTTTATTATGTAGATATCTTTACCAGTTACAAATTGAAGAAGTGATAAGAATCGGGAGTTTTCCGCCTGCAGACCAATGATAGTAATGCCTTCAATATCTTCGAATAGTGAAAATATTTGGTGGGTTTGAAATGCAAGGAATTCCAATATGAGATTATATTTGATGATTAATGATTCTAAATTGTTGGTAAACACAGACCCTAATAAGTCGTTGGAATTAACACCATCAATAAACATTTGGTTCATTTGGAAGTTATTGAGTGGAGTTCTATTGCCATACTTGTCCCCATAATAAAAGTAATTTTTGATCATTTCATTAATAGAGGTAGAATGGAGTTTCTCTAAATCTTGTGTAGCAGTCTCAACCAATTCAAAACTGGGCTCAAGATGACGGTACTCTTGAAAAAGATCTTCAAGAAGTTTGCCTGTAGCGGGTTGACCAGAGGCAAACACTCTTTTACCCTCAATCAATTCAAATGGTCCCCAAATTCCTTTCACTGATGCGGTTTCGCTCTGATGGATGAAACATGTACTTGTACCTGCTATCATACTAACAACATTCGGCATATCTGTTAAACTTGATACCCACCCTCCATAAGAATCAATACATCCATGACGAATCAAACACGGGAAAATTGATGATTCTCCTACAATTTCCCCCAACGACATCAATTTCTTAGGTCTCTTCGTTACACTTTCTGCTGCTGCTATGAATACATTGGGTTTCAATTGTAGTGTTGCAATGTCACTTTTCTTCCATCCTTTTATCGATCCATCAATTCCTTGACCTTCTTCATAAATGAGATTATGTAATTTGAACTCCACCAAGTTTTCCACATACCCTATTTGGAAAACATAGTTGAACCAATCATATAACTCGAAACAGTACAAACCTCCTACTTCACCAAACTCACCAATTTGTCCATAATTATCACTGAGCCATTTGAGTTTGGGTAAACCCAATTCAGGTATGAACTCGCTGATGGTTTGTTTAATGCCACTACCACTCAAATGTTTATTCAACTGTTTAGCTTGTTCAACCGCCCTATTGTCCATCCATAGTATAATGTCTTGATCCTGATCAGCATTCAAACCACAATTGAAGGGAGCCAAGTATTTGATGCCATCTTTTTCGATCAATTGTTTGACTACCATAGAACAGGTTGCAGTGAAACATATCGAGGTGGGGTTCTTTACTATCTCGAGAATTGAGTCAAAGATCTGTTTAGAAGATTGTGTAATCACTCTATTATTATGCTTAGTAGTAATGGTTTCTCTGACATCAGAAAATCCGTCTTCATGGTAACTTCTTACTGATCCCGTTCCAATATCAATCCCACAATGCATTGCGAATTTTAGATAACGAGAGAAAGGTTTAACAGTGGCTTTAGTTGATCAGATATCCCAGACGCCTGACGATCCATACTAAGACCAACCATGCAAAGACATAATAGCCCTCATTTCAGTTTCAAAGCTTAGCCTAAGAAATATTACGGCCGTAATGACATATCCGTGTATTCCAACTCTGCCGTGCTAAAATCCGGTATTACTGGGACAAATGAGCAATCCTAGGGAGAAATTGAATCGCCTGCGCAGTGAGGACGGCAGTAAAATTAGGGGAAGCGAGGAAATAAAGTAAGGGATCGCAATGATAAGCTTCGGTCTGCGGCCGAATTGAAATATTTAAATTATTACAAAAGACCCTTCATCTGGCCATTAAAAATTATTCTCCTTATCAATTGATCAGTCATAATGAGAAGGTCATCTACTGGACAAAACTTGTCCATAATTACTGACAGAAATTCTGGAAGAAGAAGATCACTTTATGATGACAGATTACTTGAAGATAGTAATGATGAAATTGACCGATTAAAACTGAAGGTTAGGAAAGGGAAGGTCAATTCTCAAGAAAGTGAGTTATTACCTATTGAGACCATTAAAAGTAAAATCGACGATCTTGACAGAAATCATCAACGTACAAGATTACGTAAAAAGAAGACCCACGACAAAGATAAGGAAAAGAAAGACATTCAACCTGAATCAGAAGAACCGGAGTATCGTTCACATTTTGGTGATATTAAATTCTTAGAGACCAGTACATCAATCTTTGATCTGAGTCAGTTCAAGGAATCCCAATTCTTTGGTATTTATATCTTATTCTGGTTAGGTACGGCTTTTTTAATAGCTAACAATATTATGCATGCTTATTTGAGTAACGGTAAATTATTTTGGCAATTCGAAATCGTTGGAATCTTGACAAGAGATATCTTCAAAGTAGCTTTGACTGATTTAATCATGTACTTGACCACATATTTTGCTTTTGGTTTACAGAAAATGTGTGCTTATGGATATATCAATTGGCAATCAACAGGATGGTTATTACAAGCCTCATATGATTTCTTCTACCTTTTGTTCTGGACTTTCTTTGCTTCACCCCATTTCTATGGGTTCCCTTGGATTGCTAGGGTATTCTTATTATTACATTCTTTGGTGTTCTTAATGAAAATGCATAGTTACGGATTTTATAATGGATATTTATGGAGAATCACTGAAGAATTAGAATTCAGTGAAAAGTATTTAAAAAGATGTGAAGATGGAGACGAAAGTTTATCTGAGCCTGATAAAACTAAAATCCGTGAAACTTTAGTAGCTTCGATTAATTTCTGTAAATTCGAGTTAGAACAACAATCCAAAACTAATTTTCATTGCAAAGACCCAAACGTTCTTGCTGAAACTCCACCAGTTAATTTCCCTGAAAACATAACTTTATTTAATTGGTACGAGTTCACTATGTTCCCTACTTTGGTTTATACTTTGAACTTTCCAAGAACCAAACAGATCAGATGGAAATTTGTAGGAGAGAAAGTATTGGCTGTTTTTGGTATTTTCGTGTTAATGATTATCATAGCTCAAAATGGTATGTATCCGTTGGTTATGGTAGCTAAACAATCCAAAAAGTTACCCATGATCACCAAAATTCAAACCTACTTATTAGTGTTGATGGATATGATTCCCCACTTCTTATTGCAGTATTTATTCACATTCTTCATTATTTGGGAATTCATATTGAATACCATTGCAGAGTTGAGCAGATTCGCTGACCGAGATTTCTATGGTCCTTGGTGGTCTTGTACAGATTGGGGAGAATTTGCCAGAATTTGGAACAGACCTGTTCACAAGTTCTTATTACGTCACGTTTACCATTCATCAATTTCTACTATCAGATTATCTAAAATACAAGCATCATTATTCACCTTTGTTTTATCATCATTAGTCCATGAGTTGGTGATGTTTTGTATTTTCAGAACGTTTAGAGGGTACTTGTTGTTATTCCAATTAAGTCAAATCCCTTTGATGATGATAAGTAACACCAGATTTATGAGGGATAAGAAGGTTTTGGGAAACTGTATTTGTTGGATAGGTTTCATTCTGGGTCCTTCAATTATATGTACTCTTTATTTGTTTTTCTAGGAAATGTATGGACTTCGGGTAAAAATCTTTCACCACTCTCACGATAATTCGATCTGGTGGTTTTAAAACCTCACCCTCTTGGTGGGACTCTCAACTCTCCATTCTCATAGTTAAGTCTCAGATCGCACAAAAAATTTTCATCAATGAACTTCTTCAACACTATAAGAAACTATTCGACCAGATATTTAAGTGGTTCAAGAGCCAGACCTATAGTGTTTGCTCCTTTACCTCCTAAAAGAGATGGTGAACATGTCATGTCTTTCTTACAAAACAAATTATTAGCCAAATACGATCCAACTGGACAAAGAAGAAAATTAGCAGAAACTTTAAGAGCAGGAGATATGATTAAAGTAACTTATGGGGATAAGTCCACCGCCTTCGGTAGAATCATAGCCATCAAAAGAGGTCACAATAACGTAGGTCACAACATATTAATGAGAAATAAAATCGGTGGTTTAGGTGTGGAAGTCAGAGTACCATTATTTAATCCTACCATCAAAAACATTGAAGTTATGCATAAACCTGAAAAATACTTATCAAGACGTAAACATTTCTACATCAGAAACACTAAACATGATGTTGGTAACATTGAAGATTTCTTGACTAGAGAAAGAATTGCCAAAAATCAATCAAATTAAGTATGGGGGTAAAATAGAGTTGTAAATAGTTTAAAGTATTTAATTTTCTAATTAGTTCACTACCAAATAACTCTTGAAAACTCTTGAATTTATTCATCATCAACCCTTCGAATGTTTCGAATCTCTCATTGTCTCCTAATAAATACCATCCTTGTAAATCAACTGATACTTTGTTAGAACCTTCGATTTTAAATAGAATATAACTGGATTTAGTAGGGAAATGAGGTAATTGAATTAATTCACCTTGAAGATGAAGCGAACTTGGAATCAAATCTTTATAATTTTGAAAGATTTTAGTTAATTCGTTATTCTTCGTTTGATTATCCATTTGAAGAAATATAGAGGGAATTTAGTAACAACTGATTCCCAATATCTCACGAAGTTTCAATATCGGGCGCCCAGCAACGTACAGTTAATCTACGCCAATAACAAAGTCCCATCAACTACAAATAATTGTATTTGACTTTTGGGCAATAAAGCGATTGATGTTACTGTACAAAAAAATTTTCAGATTCTTTTATATCTGCGCGGAGTCCGGGTTACCTTTACCTAAGTCTAATACTGAGGGAACGATAGTTGGGAAGGTTCAATAATGACGTTGAGTCCAGATAAATTCATAGGAAGTCAGTTAAAGATTCAGCTCAAAGATAAAAGAGATTTGTATGGTGTGTTAACAGTCATTGATCCTTTTGGTAATCTTTTGGTTTCAAATGTTAAAGAATCAAGAGATGAGGATGTAAGAGAGATCGGTTTGGTTAGTGTTCCCAAAGATGCTATTGATAAGATTTTTATTGATTCCAGATATTATAATTCACTTAAATGATTCATTCGTTTTTTGAAGATTCAGTTATATCCTTGGAACTCAGAAACTTTCTTCTCCATAGATTTTTTCATATTACCCATTTTGGTAGATTGACCTGATTTCAAACTGATTGATTTTTCATTGATCTTTTCAAGATTTTCCGTCACCTTTTCCATTTTATCTTGTTTGGATTTGCTCATAGTTTCTTTGATTTCACCCATTGATGTTTTTAATCCTTTCAATTTATTCATGGAGATATCTTTGAAACTGGCTGATTTGACAGTTGTTTTGTCAGATTTCGGATGCTTGATTATAACTTTACGTCTTTTGGGATTAGTGTAAGGCGGAGATAAGTACTTCTGTGGTACGTTAATTGGCTTTCGAATAATAATGACATAACCATCTTTATCGGTATGTTCTTCTTCTTCCCATTCACAAGAATCATACTCGCCATCATCTTTTTCATCACAATCAAAATGGTCATGGTCTTTATCACAATCTTCGGGATTAGGAGAAGGGATTGTTGAAATGGTGGGACGAGGTACAACGATTGTTGAAGTTTTAGTTGGCTCATCACAATCCTCAGTGGCAGACCCAACTGTGGAAGTAGTAGACTCCTGAGGTGTATGAGGATGATGATGTTCCAAACAGGTACCTAAATAGTGATCTCGGGCACTTTCAAAATTCCCATAGGGACAAATATCAACTAAGCATCCAAAGATTTCATCCTTCTTCTGACAAAGACAAGTCAAATCGCGATGATTGTATTCACATGACTTAGCTACTTCATTGATACAGCTAAGGAAACATGCCGGAGGTGTGGCTATCGCCAAGGTTACTAAGTAGATAATAAACAACATATTCTATTTGTGGAGATATTTTCAAACCTCAACCAAAGTCTGAGTCCCAACCTTTTGTGGTAGTATTTGGACGTGTCTTTACCTCTACATCCCAACAGGCATTTGCTATTAAGCAGAGTAAAAAATTTAGGTGACAGAATACCTGCCAAAGTTACAATAACCTTTTAAGGAACCAATAAGGCACATAATAGATCTAAATCGTATTGTCATGTATGCGATGCAAAATTACTAAAACTGTAAGAGATTTCCTCATAAGGAGGCATAATAATCGCTCTTATAACCTTATAATCCACCCCATGTTTTCTTCTGGCCCGTAATTCCATAGAATTGTAGATCTTCTTTAATGGAAGTGATCAAAACCATTTTCCAGGGCGTTGGAAAAAACAAATCTCAATTTCTCAATTATCTTACCAAATATCCACCCGATCTTGTGACGTCTAAAGTTTACCTGAAATATTGGAATAACTTGTTCATCGTTAAATCAGAAATCTTCACTTTCTTTAAATACCTGAGAGTTTGAAGTTGAATAATCGAATACACAAAAAATGCAAGGTAGTTACAAAAATGGGGGATTACCTAGACCCTACAATATGAAACCAATCAGACCCAAAAAGGGTTCTCCATATCAAAATTTCCAAAGTAATTGGTTCAACTCACCTAGAAGGAAGGCTTTGGGATATTTCTTCATGTTGTTTTTGTTTTCATTGAGTTTTTATTGGTTAGGACAAACATTAAAATCCACCCCAGATACTATTTATGAATTGGAAGACGTTGATAAAAAGTTAATGAATTCTTTACAGGATGTTGATAACCTCGTGGGAAAGATATCCAATGAAAAAGACAAAGACGAAGGTGTATTGGATGCTAAATTAGCTGGTAATATGATGGCTAATTCTAAAGGAGATATCGGAATTGGAATTAATGAAGCACCAAAAGGAGGGATTGCTAATGAAGCACCAATAGTAGGAAATGATGAAGAATTGATCTTAAAAGGTAAAAAATCCACTAAAAAGAATGATCAAGTTGAAAGAATTTTGAATGATATAGAATCTAAACAAGAAATTTTATAAATCCATAGTAAATAGCAAAAAAATCAACTACGATTAATGAATAAAAATTGAATCAATTCCTCTTCTATCGTTTGTACTTACTATTATAGTTATGGGGAGAAGGAAAAATAAAAGGTCCCACTGGGAATCGAACCCAGGTTTCCAGAAACTTCTTAGAGATCAGAATCTGAGGTGATAGCCTCTACACTACGGGACCAGTTTTACCCGCAAAATACAATAATCCAAGTTAGTAGGTGATTAAGCAAAGTTTTTTGCGCCGTTTTCGAAGTTTTGGGACGTATATGGGGATATAATTGGGTTCGGGGATGTCGATTTGCTTATTTATGAATCTAAATTAACTATTTTGTGTCTAGGAAGGTCAAATCTTTACAATTTCTGAATGATTACACATACTCACTGTTAATCCTAGAACATACGATTCGATAAGACTGTTTTTCTCCTATTACTCTCTCCCATACATTCTCATTCATTTGGCACTTTGGGGGTCATAGAAATTTACAATCCCACTCTTTATAACCTATAATCTATAATTCTTGCCATTGACCTTTCAAATCCTAAAACATCCGATGAGGTATCAAAAGAACCTGTTGAAACTGGCCCAAAAGTCGGCCCAACCAGCTCAAACTCTTCTGTCATGTTGTCCCTAACCATTGACACCCTATCTACAAGTTTCACCCATAAATCAACCCAATATCTTCATCTTTTGCTTCTTTATTAAACACGATGGTATGTCGTGTACTGGAAATTACATCGGTCTCAAAAATACCCTGGAGGTTTCAATAATGATTTTCCAACCCAAAAAGTATTTATATTACACCAGTAGCACCATCATTAGCCCCTTACCTGCCATTATATCTACCAGTATACTTCACTACCTTCTCTACCTTTCAACCATTCCTTCATACCTTCTCTGTTTCATTTGCAGATAGCGATGTCGCACCGACATCTTCAACATTTTTTTCTCCCGACATCCCTTATTTGATTCAAACTCATCCATGAAAAATTTTTTCTTCTCATCAATCTTTTTTTACTATGTCAGCTGCAAGTGAATCTAAATATTCTACTGAAGTGCTTTCAGAATTATTAGGTAAATTACAAGTTGCTGATAATAAAGATGAAGCTGCTTCAAACATTGCTTCATTTTTAAATTCATCAATTGTTGAACATGATACTCCTGTTGAATTCTTCAATGATTTACAAAAACAAATCAATGGTAAAGATGCTATCCCAGCTTTGTCTGCTTATGCTCACATTGCTTCATCAAATGCTTTATCTCCAACTATCGAACCATTAGTTGTTGAGTTAGTTACTGATGTTGCTGCTAAAGCTGGTGACAAAAACAAAGATGTTCAAGTCGCTGCTTCAGATGCTTTATTAGCCATCTCAACTGCTATTACTCCAACTTCAATCAAAGTTATCTTACCAAAATTATTAAAGAGTTTAGTTGAAACTAACAAATGGACCGAAAAAGTTGCTATTTTAAGATCTGTTTCTCAATTAGTTGATACTGCTAAAGCTCAAATTGCTTTAAGAATGCCGGAATTAATTCCAGTCTTATCTGAAGCTATGTGGGATACCAAAAAAGAAGTTAAAGAAGCTGCCACTGCTACTATGACCAAATCCACTGAAACCATTGATAACAAAGATATCGAAAAATTCATTCCAAAATTAATTGAATGTATTGCTAAACCAACTGAAGTTCCAGAAACCGTTCATTTATTAGGTGCTACCACTTTCGTTTCTGAAGTTACCATGGCTACTTTATCTATCATGGCTCCTTTATTATCTAGAGGTTTAGCTGAAAGAGAAACTGCTATTAAGAGAAAATCTGCTGTTATTGTTGATAACATGTGTAAATTAGTCGATGATCCACAAGTTGTTGCTCCTTTCATGGATAAATTATTACCAGCTTTAAAAGCTAACTTCTCAACCATTGCTGATCCAGAAGCTAGAGAAGTTACCCAAAGAGCTTTAAACACTTTAAGAAGAGTTGGTGCTGTTGGTGAAGGTGATGTTATCCCAGAAGTTTCTACTGCTGGTGATGTTTCAGTCACTTTAGATATCTTTAAAAAATTAATCAAAGATCAAAAAGTTGATGAAAAAAGATTTGCTCCAGTCTTAACTTATATTGCTGCTATTGGTGGTGATTTAGTTGATGAAAGAGATATCCACCCAGGTTCTTGGACTACCAACGTTTTACCATTTGCTACTATCTTCTTACACGAAAAAGAAGCTCAAGATATTATTGAAGAATTTAGAAAACAAGCTATTGATAATATCCCAGCTCCTCCAGCTTTCGAAGATGAAGAAGATGAAGGTGAAGATTTATGTAATTGTGAATTCTCATTAGCTTACGGTGCTAAAATCTTATTAAACAAAACTCAATTTAGATTAAAGAGAAATAGAAGATATGGTTTATGTGGTCCAAATGGTGCTGGTAAATCTACTTTAATGAGAGCTATTGCTAATGGTCAAGTTGAAGGTTTCCCAACCCCAGAAGAATGTAAAACCGTTTATGTTGAACACGATATTGATGGTACTGAAGCTGAAACCTCAGTTGTTGATTTCGTTATCCAAGATGGTGAAGTTGGTTTAACCAAAGATGTTGTTGAAGCTAAATTAACTGAATTCGGTTTCTCCGATGAAATGATTGCTATGTCTATCCACTCATTATCCGGTGGTTGGAAAATGAAATTAGCTTTAGCCAGAGCTGTCTTAAAGAATGCTGATATCTTATTATTAGATGAACCAACTAACCATTTAGATACCGTTAATGTTGCTTGGTTAGTTAACTACTTAAAAACTTGTGGTATTACTTCCATTATTGTTTCTCATGATTCCGGTTTCTTAGATAATGTTGTTGAATACATTATCCATTACGAAGGTTTCAAATTAAGAAAATACAAAGGTAACTTATCTGAATTCGTTAAAAAATGTCCATCAGCTCAATCATACTATGAATTAGGAGCTTCTGATTTAGAATTCAAATTCCCAGAACCAGGTTTCTTAGAAGGGGTTAAAACTAAACAAAAAGCTATTGTTAAAGTTTCTAACATGACTTTCCAATATCCAGGTACTTCAAAACCTCAAATTAGAGATATCAATTTCCAATGTTCTTTATCTTCAAGAATTGCTGTTATTGGTCCAAATGGTGCTGGTAAATCTACTTTAATTAATGTTTTAACTGGTGAATTATTACCAACTGAAGGTGATGTTTACGTTCATGAAAATTGTAGAATTGCTTACATTAAACAACATGCTTTCGCTCATATTGATAACCATTTAGATAAAACTCCATCTGAATATATCCAATGGAGATTCCAAACTGGTGAAGATAGAGAAACCATGGATAGAGCTTCAAGACAAATTAATGAAGATGATGAAAAGGGAATGGAAAAAATCTTCAAAGTTGAAGGTACTCCAAGAAGAATTGCTGGTATTCATGCTAGAAGAAAATTCAAAAACTCTTATGAATATGAAATTTCATGGATGTTAGGTGAAAACATTGGTATGAAATCAGAAAGATGGGTCCCAATGATGTCTGTTGATAACACTTGGTTACCAAGAGGTGAATTAATGGAAACTCACTCCAAGATGGTTGCTGAAGTTGATATGAAAGAAGCTTTAGCTTCAGGTCAATTCAGACCATTGACTAGAAAAGAAATTGAAGAACATTGTGCCATGTTAGGTTTAGATGCTGAATTAGTTTCTCACTCTAGAATTAGGGGTTTATCCGGTGGTCAAAAAGTTAAATTAGTTTTAGCTGCTTGTACTTGGCAAAGACCTCATTTAATCGTCTTAGATGAACCAACCAATTATTTAGATAGAGATTCTTTAGGTGCTTTATCAAAAGCCTTAAAAGCTTTCGAAGGTGGTATTGTTATCATTACTCACTCAGCTGAATTCACTAAAGATTTAACTGAAGAAGTTTGGGCTGTCTTAGACGGTAGAATGACTCCATCAGGTCACAATTGGGTCCAAGGTCAAGGTGCTGGTCCAAGATTAGAAAAGAAAGGTGATGATGAAGAAGATAAATTCGATGCTATGGGTAACAAGATTGCCGCTGCTAAAAAGAAGAAGAAGTTATCATCTGCTGAATTAAGAAAGAAAAAGAAGGAAAGAATGAAGAAGAAGAAGGAATTAGGTGATGCCTACGTTTCTGAAGATGATGATGATTTCTAAATTTAGAACCTCAATATCTAAATCTTTCTGAATTTTTTTGTCTTTTTGAAAGGAAATTTATTTATTACCTTTAATTATTGTTGTTTATCTATAATATAGATTCTTTTTATTGTTCTCTGTTTCATTTTTTTCAAATTTGTTTCATATTTTTCTCCGGTGCGATCTTATTTGTTTCAGATCTTGCGTTTACGGTGATTCTAGTTTCATAATTACTCGCAGTGCTTCAACTTCAATTCGTTTAATTACACGAAGAATTTTTTCAGTTAGTAATTGATGAGTTTTTGATACTTTCTAATGTATTTTAAACAATTTACATCTTGAAACTCTAATCACATGATTAGCAGACTCTAGATTTAACCCTCACTGAAAGTTTCAAATTCAAATGAAGTGGCTTGAAGGAGAAGTGCGCGAACCGACAAAGGGGGATCAAAAAAAATTAAGGCATTACAATTTGAGATTCAAAAATTGAAAATTATCGAATTTAGCGTGTATTTTCATTTATATATAAAGGTTTTGGGATAAATTGAAAAGTTGGTTTTCATTGGTTTAAGGATTTAATAAGTAGCATATAAAAAAAATTCAGTAATGATAACTAGAACTTTAAATAGCCCAACAAGAGTTTTATATGAAAGAGCAGAAAGTTCTTCCTATGCAACCGATTCAAATGGATGTGTGATTTGTCCATCAACAACACCTGAAGGACCTACTTGTGGTAAAGGATATGACAAGTTATTGAGGAGTCCCACATGTAATCAATGTGCTGCATATTATTGTGAAAAAAGGAGTGATGATGGAGGTAGTAGTACACCAGTTGGTGGTATTGTAGGAGGTATTGTAGGAGGAGTGGCAGCATTATTAGCAGCAGGTTTGTTATATTATTTCCTTGTGTGGAAGAAGAAACATCCAAGTTTGGATGAAGAAGAAGAAGATATAATAATGAGTGATTTGGAAAATGGTGAAGATAAGGGAAGTTTCAGTAACGAGAGTAATTTGGATACTACTAATGAAACTGGAAATGGAAGTCAAGGAAATTTATCCAAGGAGAGTGAAAGACCTGTACAAAGAAGAAACAACTCGAATTCTAATCTCTCCAATAGAAGATTATCATCATATGAATCATTTACTCGTCCTCAAAAAGTTGGTAGAAAACAAGCTCAAATTCCAAGACATAAACAAGTTGGAAAGAGACAGTTGAAATCCAGAAATCTTATTAATAATGCCAATATTAATTATGGAAATGGTCAAATTAATTCACCATATATTGATCCAAATTCAAGTAACAGAAATTCTATTGCAACGACGATATCAACTACTAATGCATCAAATATCTTACCAATTGCATATATTCCTGGGGTCACTGTTAGACCTACCAAGAACAATACCAAATCTATTTATTCATACGAAACAGACTCGATATTTTCTGATTTGAATACTATTGAAAATGCTTCGATTATCGGTGATATAATGAGAGCTAATTATCAAGATCAAGAAAGATCTGATAATGATGATGGAGAAAAGAATACCATGACAGCTATCAAAGCCCAACCGAGATTGGTGAATGTTGAAAGAATTGAAGAAGAAGAGGAGGAAGATGATTATGTTAGTGGTAATGATAATGAAATAACAGAAATGAATGAAACCAATGAATATTCCTTGATCAGTGAAGATAAGAAATCAAGTGTCATAACAACAACTAATCATCTCAATAATAGTACATTAAGTGAAATCACCAGATCTGGAGATATCGATAGTGATGATAGTGATGTTGATAGTGACATTGGAGAGATTCAAAGAGCTACCAGTATCAGAAGGAATGAACAGCAAGTCAAACAAATATCCAAGGAAATACCCCTTGACTTAATTGATTTAGGTAAACCAGGTAAAGATAATGAAAGTATTATGGAAAGTAATGGATCATTTGTTTTGGATGTGGAAATAGATAAGCGTGAAAGTCAAAATAGTGGTGAAAGAAGTCCTTTCGAAGATCCTTGAAATTGTAATTGTATAGAATGTATAGTAGTTAAAAAAAATTAACAGGAACTGTGTCTTGGCTTTCAAATATCATCTCCCCCACCTTTGAAATGTCTACTTTAAATTTCCGAATTCACGTTTTTTTGGACCATTCACTCGTTAATATCAAAACCGTTTTTCTCGGACAATCTTTGTATCTGAATCTCAAATTACTAAATCAGTTGCCCATGTCCAAATATTTCGTCACCGAACGTATTTGTCTTGATATTCACCGAACGACATATAGCATTTAGTCATATATTCAAAGTTTAACTTGCCCGAGAAATCCATAACATTGGTAAATCTCATTACAAAACTTCGGTGTTCTTTGGTCCAAAAATTTACCTAAAGTGGTGGGGGTTTGGTTCAATGTCTCGACCTCGCGACATTAGAACCGGCCAACATCGATTCATTAATCAAGTGAAAAAGTCTGGACTAAGCAATTACTAATAATATTTATAAGGCTCATTACTGTCAAATCATTTCCTCCTCTCTGTATACAACGACAAAACCCTCTTAACCTTTCAACTCCCCGAATTAAATCGTGTCGGAGTATGGGTGGATATCATTTCGCACCCAATTATATAAATTCCCCAATTCCTCAACATTTTGAAAAATAAATTTTCAATTGAATTGATTAAGAAAAACTTCCAATTAAAATTAAAGATGTCAATTGATCAATTATCTGTTGCTACTATTAGAACCTTAGCCGTTGATATGGTTAATGCTGGAAATTCCGGTCATCCAGGTGCTCCATTAGGTTTAGCTCCATTAGCTCATGTCGTTTTCTCCAAAATGAAATTCAACCCAAAGAATCCTCAATGGATCAACAGAGATAGATTCGTTTTATCAAATGGTCACGCTTGTGCTTTATTATATTCCATGTTATACTTATATGGTTATGATTACACTTTAGATGATGTCAAATCATTCAGATCATTAAATTCTAAAACTCCTGGTCACCCAGAAAGAGGTCACTGTCCTGGTGTTGAAGTTACTACTGGTCCTTTAGGTCAAGGTATCTGTAATGCTGTTGGTTTAGCCATTGCTCAAAAACAATTTGCTGCTACTTACAACAAACCAGATTTCACTTTATCTGATAACTACACTTACTGTTTCCTCGGTGATGGTTGTTTAATGGAAGGTGTCTCCGGTGAAGCTTCATCTTTAGCTGGTCACTTAAAATTAAACAATTTAATTGCTTTCTGGGATGATAACAAAATCTCAATTGATGGTTCTACTGAAGTCGCTTTCACTGAAGATGTTGTTGGTAGATATAAAGCTTACGGTTGGAACATCTTAGAAGTTGAAGATGGTAACACTGACCTAGAAGCTATGGCTAAAGCCATTGAAGAAGCTAAAAAATCAACCGATGCTCCAACTTTAGTTAGAGTTAAAACCACCATTGGTTACGGTTCTTTAGCTGCTGGTTCTCACTCAGTTCATGGTGCTCCATTAAAAGCTGATGATATCAAACAATTAAAATCTCAATTCGGTTTTGATCCAGAAAAATTCTTCAACGTCCCTCAAGAAGTTTTAGATTATTATCAATCAAAAGTCGCTGAAAGTGTTAAAATTGAAAACAAATGGAACGAAACTTTCGAAGCTTACAAAAAACAATATCCAGAATTAGGTTCTGAATTAGAAAGAAGATTAAATGGTGAATTACCTCAAGGTTGGGAAAAAGCTTTACCATCTTTCACTCCTTCTGATAAAGCTGTTGCTACTAGAAAATTATCTGAAGGTGTTTTAGATGCTTTATACCCAGTCTTACCTGAATTAGTTGGTGGTTCCGCTGATTTAACTCCATCTAATTTAACCAAAGCTACTGGTTCAGTTGATTTCCAACCTCCATCAACCAAATTAGGTGATTACACTGGTAGATATATCAGATACGGTGTTAGAGAACACGGTATGGGTGCCATCATGAATGGTATTGATGCTTTCGGTGGTAACTTCAAAGCTTACGGTGGTACTTTCTTAAATTTCGTCTCATACGCTGTTGGTGCCGTTAGATTATCAGCTTTATCTCAACACCCAGTTATTTGGGTCGCTACTCACGATTCTATTGGTTTAGGTGAAGATGGTCCAACCCATCAACCTGTTGAAACTGTTGCTCACTTAAGAGCTATTCCAAACTTATCTGTTTGGAGACCAGCTGATGGTAATGAAGTTTCAGCTGCTTATAAATCAGCTATTGAATCTACTTCAACTCCTCATGTTTTAGCTTTATCAAGACAAAACTTACCTCAATTAGAAGGTTCATCAATCGAAAAAGCTTCTAAAGGTGGTTACGCTTTAGTTGAAGTTGAAAACCCAGATTTAATTATCGCTGCTACTGGTTCAGAAGTTGAATTAGCTGTTAACTCTGCTAAAGCTTTAGGTGAATCAGGTAAAAAAGTCGGTGTTGTTTCTATTCCAGATTTCTTCACTTTTGAAAAACAATCTGATGAATATAAATTATCCGTCTTACCAAACGGTGTTCCAATCTTATCAGTTGAAGTCTTATCACCATTCGGTTGGTCAGCTTACTCCCACGAACAATTTGGTTTATCCAGATTTGGTGCTTCAGGTAAAGCTACTGATGTTTATAAATACTTAAACTTCACTGTCGATGGTGTTGTTGAAAGAGCCAACAAAACCATTGATTTCTACAAAGGTAAAGAAGTTATTTCTCCTTTAAACAGAGCTTTTTAATCTTATAGAATAAATAGTTTTAAATTTTAAGATATCTAATAATTCTTCTATTGTTTTCTCTGAAGAGTGGTTTCATAAATTCTATTTCATCTTAGAGATCTTTAGAGAAAAAAGTACTCAAATTCGTGCATTTTAAAACATAAGACGTAATCCTCTTTAACTCGTTTAATTCATTTGATTAGATTATTTTGAAGTATCAACAACGTATCTACCTAAAACTTGACCAGCTTTTAATAATTCGAAAACTTTTGGTAATTCAGATAAACCAACAATCTTAATTGGACATTTAACTAAACCTCTGGCAAAGAAATCAATAGCTTCGGCAGAATCAGCTCTGTTACCAACATAAGAACCTTTAATAGAAATAGATTTGACAACAGCATCAAAAACTGGAGCAACAACTTTAGCTTCAGCTGGTAAACCAACTAAAACAACGGTACCACAAGATCTGACGTATTCACAAGATTGACGAATAGCGAATTCAGAAACTGAAACATTGATAGCACCATGTGGACCACCTTCAGTGGCAGTTTTGATTTCTTCAACTAAATCTTTTGATTTGGTGAAATCAGCGAAGTATTCAGCACCTAAAGATTTACAGAATTCACCTTTTTCTTCACCACCATCGATGGCTAAAACTCTGTAACCCATAGCTTTAGCATATTGGATAGCTAATGAACCTAAACCACCAGCAGCACCAGAAATGGCGACCCATTCACCAGCTTTTAAACCAGCAGTCTTTAAAGCTTTGTAAACAGTGATACCAGCACATAAGATTGGAGCAACTTGAGCTAAATCAGTACCTTTTGGAATTCTAGCAGCTTGAACGGCATCAGCAGTAGCGTATTGTTGGAAAGAACCATCATGAGTACAACCAGATAAATCAGCTTGAGCACAATTTGATTCATTCGAATTGTAACAGAATTCACAAGATAAACATGAACCATTTAACCATTTAATACCAGCTAAATCACCAACTTTCCAACCAACAACATTTTCACCCATACCAACAACGACACCGGCACCTTCATGACCACCAACTAATGGTAATTTGTTTTTAACTGGCCAATCAGCAGCATGAACATGGATATCAGTATGACAAACCCCGGAATATTTAACATTAATTAAAAGTTCATTTGGTTTTGGAGTTGGAACAGCAATTTCTCTGTAATTTAAAGGTCCTTTATCTTCATCGAAGACAATAGCCATTTGAGTCTTTGGAACTGACATTTTAATTGTATTTAATTTATAATTTGTAAAGCTTAAAAATCTAACTTGATTATTAAATCGGATTGATTTTGAAAACTTTAAGAAATTCATTGTCCTATTTATAATAATTGAAAATCTTATTTCTATTTAAATTAACCCTCTCTTGATGTTTTCGACATTTCCAAATCAAATGATGTGTTTGACCATATTATTGGTGGAAAATAATTTATGCACCTTTGCTTATACCCTTTTTAGAAAGTTTCTTTTGCGATCAACTGATTATCTGCATAAGAGTGGGTGCGACCGAGTGATTTTTCACCTCATCAGTTGATCATATTTATTTGAGGGATTAATTTAAACTTTACTGATAGACATAAGGTTAATTGTAGAGTTAAGTATGATGATAAAATACCCTTGGAAACCTTCAATTGAGTATCATCATTCATCACGACAAAAGGAGTTTAGAAATTTGGAGAGTTTTTACTTTTCGGATTTTAACATTTCCCCTAAATAAATTGCAGAGACTGCGTGCGCGGGACAATTATCAAGCAACCCACTTAATCGCATACAAACTTTTACGGAGTTTTAGTCCATTCTTTAATCCGACGTCTTTTAATCAGGTGTTTTGGGTGCGTCGCCTGACGCATGTTTTAATTTTTTTTACGAATCCCTGGTCATAATCTTTGGTAACTGATTGACAACTTTCTGATAGTGCGATAAGTCAATAAATTCTATCATTCTCAATTCACTCTGAATTTTATTTTGGAGCCTCTCGGTATTATTTCATGACATCAATCCTCGTTGGTAGCTAAACTCCAGACATGCGCACGTTCCTAACCTGAACTTAAATTTTGTGTTGAGTGATTTTCCAACTTAGAGCATAAACTGGGGTAATCCAGTTCGGAGATCTTCATTTGGAACTTAAACTCCTTATTCGTTATTTTTAACCTAGATGCTAAAGTCCTTAAACGTTGAACACATGCAAATCGATGATCTTTCAGGTGTAGATGAGAAGTTTTTTCAGGGCTTGATGTTACTGCTTAAGTCCAGAATTTTTCAAAAATGTTCTTTTTAACATACGTAACTAAAGAGCAATTACTTCTGACATTTAACTTAGCCTCGAACTACCTGAGAATCCAACATTTTTGAGATTGTTCGGCAAAGGACTTAAACACCGATATTTTTACATCTTTTCAACATAATTCCATCCCCTCCTAAGTTTTCGGAGAAAAGAACTCGTTTCAAATTGATCGAAATGCAAAACAATGGAATTAAGAGTACTGGAGTTTTGGTAAGAGCCTTCAACTCTCGGAGTTTCAGATCTGGGGAAATTTTCGTTTCTGAATATGTATTATGACTTAATAATAACTTAATGGTCGTGGATCCCATTTTTCGTCTTGGACAAAATCAATCAATGTGGTTGAGCCGGTTTGTAATAAAGGATGCCCGCTTACAACACTTAAAAATTTCTCTAAACCTTGTCTTCTTTTTTCAATATTTAAATCGTTGAACTTGTTGGAATTTAATAAAATTTTTCCAGGTAAAGAAGGTATTATGACTCGGGAAGTTTCGGTTTCTAATATTTGTTTCAATTTGACAAAATCGGAATATCGTCTACGTACCCGACTTTGACGTTTCTTGAATGATGGTATATTTGTCTATTAGTTAGTATTGAATTAATTTAATACGTTGAATTCTGATAACTGTGAGTGTTCCAGGTCACTCATCAGCACCTTGGATCTATGCACCACAGAAAATTATTACATACCCGGCAAACAACTTCATAATCTGTAAAAACCTCTCTCCCATAATTGTGAGTTTGGGGATTACGAACCTAAAAATTAGTATTGATTCTATCTTTTATTCGAGTAAAATTAACATACCTCTATCTCAAGAAAATTCTCTGGTTCACCATACAATTCATTAAATGATTGAGGCTTCAGAGGACTCGTGGTATTGATTATGTCACTTATTGGCTGAAATGGTTTGGACATGATTTATTTCGCGATAAAGATTTGGCTTGGATAAGGGGTTAGATTTTAAGAAATGTAACATATAAAAAAACATTTACTCACTTATATACTTAAAAAATGATCAATCGATATCAACCTCAGGGACATAATCCAATTCAGTTGAAGCGAACTTCCTAGCACTAATTTTACGATCAAACAAGATATCTAATTCCTCATAGGTTCTATCTTTTGATTCGGGTAATCTAAAATAACTCCATATCAATGTTGGGAAAGCTGTTCCAAACCAGAAGAATGCTGTTTTACCCTTTAAGTCAGCTTCTCCTGGATTAAGTAAATAGGGCTGGATTATATGGGATAACAAGGATATAATGTTGTAACTATTTCTGGCTAAAGCAATTGATTGAGCTCTCAATCTGGTAGCACTCATTTCAGAAATGATTGTGTAAGTCAAAGGACCAATAGTTGTAGCATAAATACCTACCCATACCAAAACAATTCCACATTGAGTCCATTGAATACCTGGAGTTTGTTTTGGGATTGCCAAGACACCAATCAATAATAGTAATGATGTTAAGAAGAAATATCCTGTAACATAAATTCTTCTTCTTCCAAATTTATTGATGAAAAGCCATGAAACAATACACCCAGTAAAAGAAATGGCTGTGGTACCTAAGTTTAATTTATAAGTGTTGGCAGGATCAAGACCTGCTTGTCTAAAGAAATAAGATGGTTGATAGGCGAAACTACTTCCTGCTAAAATTTGTCCAATGAAACACACACAAACAATTTCGGTTCTTCTCAAGTTGGTTCCTTGGAAACATTGTAAGTAACCTCTCCAACCTTTTTCATCATTAGATTTGGAGTTATGTTGTTGTTTCTCTAATTCGTTGGTGTGTTTCATTAAATTGATTTGTTGAGGAATACGGTGGTGGATTTTTTTATTCCAAAGACGTGCTAATGACTTAGCTGCCTCTTCTTCTTTGCCACTTCTTATCAACCACCAAGGAGAATCGGGAGCCAAATAAGTCATGATTATCAATGGGATGGGGAAAACCCATTGAAGAGCAAAAGGGATACGATACCCCCATTCCGTGGTATTACTGACGAGTCCTTTCAAAATTCCTCCAGCTAATAATTGTCCAGTTGCCCAACATAAGTTAACAAAAGCTGTCATATAACCTCTTAAAGCAACCGGCATAATTTCTGAACTATAAGTTGGACCCATGGTTGCGAACACTCCCCAAGGGATACCGTTGAATATTTGGCCTACTAATAACACTTCAACTCTAGGAGCAAAAAAAGGAATGAATATTCCTCCTGTCATCCAAACAAGGAAGAACATTATAACTTTCCTGTGACCGAATTTCTCAATTAAGAACCCATTCGATAATACTCCAAAAAAAGCCCCCACTGATGATGCACAACTTAAGCCCACTTGCCAAGGACCTGTCAATTCATAGTGATCTTCAAAAGGTCTACCATATTTCTTTTGGAACGATGGATATCCAATGAAATTACCTAATAATGAAACATCATAACCTTCCATAATAATGGTTGAAGAGATTATAATACCCCAGAAGATACACATAGGATAAACCTTCAAGGCTTCTTTCAAAGTTATGTCATGTTCTGAGTCTGTGGCCAATTGAACATCATCTAAAACGTCATTTTTCTCTTTCAAATCGATTGAGTTCGACTCAATGTGTTCGATACTTGGTTTTGGATCTGATTTGTTCATATCAATGACTTATCAGAGAAACAAAATAGCTTATTTATAGTAAAAGATCCTCCACGTTTGGGGAAGCAAAATCTGGGGGTGGTACCTTATCATAAACACATACAGAGGTAAAAAATGGGGGAAATATGGGGGTCCATCCTTATTGCTTGGTAACAATGTAAAAATTTGGGGGATCCAAAAATCTTGGAAGTTTACGGTTCCCCCCAGCTTTTATATCTTTCTGGCTTCTGGCTGCAAATATTGGATTGTCCCTATCAGGATTAAATATTAGTTAGGGAACGACCTAAATAACGTGTAATCTTTCTCGGTGTAAATGGGTGCAAAATGTCTCTGATCTGCGGCGGACATCGAGTTCTTGAGAGAAGGAGGGGCAAATAAATATATCCATAATTTTGACCTCATATCATCCCACATATGTATTCCGATGATTCAAACCACAGATATGAAGTACATTGGCCTTAGAAGATGTAGAATTACTAACAATTTTCGGTATATATGTCGCACGGAAAATTAAGTGGAAATGGATGTCGCAGAGAGGGAAATTTGCTCGCCCAATTACCAAAATCTGGGGTATTTAAATAGATGTCAAAGATCAATAATTCTTCAGATTAATAGATTTCACCATGGACTATAGTATTGATAGATATGTCGAAAGTGACACCAGATTCACCCGAGGAATGTGGGAATTGAAAGAAGGTGTTAAGATCACCTGGGCTACTGAAGCTTTCAAAACTGTTGTTGAAAAAGATTCAATTTACAATTTAACTGCTACCAAAGTCTTGAGAAACAGAGGTGACCAATTAAATAGTGCTGCTATTTCCACCAAAATCACCTCCCCAATGGAAGGTATTGTTGGTGTTGAAGCTGTCCATCATTTATCAAAATACAAAAACAGTAAAGAACCAAGATATGAATTAAAAGCTGATAAAAATTCTTCAATTACCACCACTGATCATAATGAAGATTTAGCCTCCTTAAGTGCTGTTGGTATCACTGCTGCAGTTACCAAAAAACAATTTGCTATCGATTTCAAAGATGAAACTAAAACTTTAACCAAATTTGGTTTTAGATCAATTGGTCATGTGACCGATGCAAGATTCCCAAAAACTGGAGCTACTACTAACAAAGCTTCAACCTATATCACCACTCAATTGCACTTATCAGTTGGTGAAAAATTATATGGTTTAGGTGAAAGATTCGGTCCATTCTTGAAAGGTGGTCAAAGAGTTGAAATGTGGAATGAAGATGGTGGTACTTCATCTGAATGGACTTACAAGAATGTTCCTTTCTATTTATCTTCAAGAGGTTACGGTGTTTTCGTAGATTCTCCATCCAATGTTGTTTTCGAATTACAAAGTGAAAGAACTACCAGAGTTAATATCACTGTTCCAGGTGAAGGTGCTAGAATTTACATTATCAGTGGTCCTACTCCAAAACAAGTCTTAGAAAGATATGCTAAGTTGACTGGTTTCCCAGCTTTACCTCCAGCTTGGACTTTTGGTTTGTGGTTAACCACTTCTTTCACTACTGATTATGATATCAAGACTGTTTCATCTTTCTTACAAGGAATGAAAGATCGTGAAATTCCTTTAAGAACTTTCCATTTTGATTGTTTCTGGATGAAGGGGTTCCAATGGACTGATTTTGAATTTGATCCAGAATATTTCCCAGAAGCTAAAACTATGTTAGCCAAATTGAAGAAAGATTTTGGTATCAAAGTTTGTGTTTGGATCAATACTTATATTGCTCAAGAAGCCTCAATCTTTAAAGAAGCTGATGAAAAGGGATATTTAATCAAAAACACTGATGGATCAAGTTATCAAACTGATTTATGGCAAGCTGGTATGGGTATTGTTGATTTCACCAACCCAGAAGCTTGGAAATGGTACCAAGATCATTTATCTAAATTAGTTGATTTAGGTGTTGACTCCTTCAAAACTGATTTTGGTGAAAGAATCCCATGTAAAGATATTGTTTACCATGGTGGCCAAGATCCTGTTGCTATGCACAATTACTACACTTATTTATACAACAAATGTGTTTTTGAAATCTTAGAAAAGAAATTAGGTAAAAACGAAGCTTGTCTTTTTGCCAGATCTACCACTACTGGTGGTCAACAATTCCCAGTCCATTGGGGTGGTGATTGTGAATCCACCTTCGAAGCTATGGCTGAATCTTTAAGAGGGGGTTTATCTTTAACCTTATCTGGTTATGGATTCTGGTCTCATGATATCGGTGGATTTGAAGGATCTCCAGATGCTTCAGTTTATAAGAGATGGTGTGCTTTCGGTCTTTTATCATCTCATTCAAGATTACACGGTTCAGCATCTTATAGAGTTCCTTGGAATTTCGATGATGAAGCTTCAGTTGTCTTAAAGAAATTCACTGACTTGAAGATTAGCTTAATGCCATATATTTATGCTAAAGCTATTGAAGCCCACAAAACTGCTACTCCAGTTATGAGAGCTATGTTATTAGAATTTCCAAATGATCAAGTTGCTCAAAGTTGTGATACTCAATTCATGTTGGGTGAATCATTATTAGTTGCTCCAGTTTTCAATGGTGAAGGTGATGTTTCATACTTTATTCCTTCAGGTAAATGGTATGGTTTATTAGATGGAAAAATCAGAGAAACCGTTGACGGTAAATACTTCGATGAAGTCCATGATTATAAATCATTACCATTATTAGTTAGACCAAACTCAGTATTCATCTCAGCTGGTCCAACTACTAAGATCGAAAAACCAGATTATGCTTATAATGAAGAATTCTTGGTTAATGTCTTTGAAGTTGAAGACTCTAAAACTGTTCAAATTCCAGATATCAACAAATTGGGAGAGTTCGTTGCTGAAATTACTGTCACTAAAACTGATAAAGGTTATGATGTTACCTCATCAGGTAAAGTTTCCAAGAATTATTACGTCAAAGTTCTTGGAGCTTCTGTCAAAAATGATGGTGAAAAAGATTCTTTCGGTAACACTATTGTTAAAGTTTCCGGAAAAGCTTCAATTGAATTAGCTTAGGTTAGTTTAGAAAATTTATGAGATCCATTTAATTCACTCTAATTTTAATTCTTTATCGGAACGTTTTTTGGTTTGGGACTTATGGAAATTCCAAACGATTCTTAGGAATCAAGAGACATTTCACATTAGGTAGAGTAGAGACTTTCAGAGACTTTCAAAGACATTTCGAATAAATATTTATTATCATGCAAACATAAAATGACCTAATGTCTGTAAACATTGGCATTCATTGGAGGAACTTGGTGAACTCTATTTGAAACTTCAGCTACAACATGAGGCCAACATAAGAAAGCACCTAAACCAGTTCCCCACATAGCTACGTAAGGAAGTCTTCTGGCAATTAATTGAGTGTAAGTAGTTCTAGCAAACATTTTTATTTAGTTGATTTGAATATCTAATTTAATTGAATATGTAAATTGATTGATGATTATAATCTGGGGATCTGCCTATTATTTATACGTATTCTTTTACATCGAACATAATGGCTGCAAAAAACTGGTGATTTGAGACTGAGAAAAATAACACCACATTTTTTCTTTTGTTGCGTGATTTTTTTTAATGCGTGAATGCTTTTTATAGAAAAACATCTCATCGGTGATCAGTGGTACAACCATAGGACTTGGCCGTTCGATTTCCTAACGAATATACAGAAGGTCATATGTTCTACAACAAAAGAGTATTATCACGATGAACAGAAGCTGTTACAACATATTTCTCATGATCTTCGCAAAGGTCATCTCGTAAAATGGCGATGACATTGATTGGGGTTTCCCTCAGTTGGAGCTTTGTAGATTCTTAGTCCCAGATTTCGCTTAGGCCCGATAGAGGAAGCAATATTTTAATCAATACAAACTCTAGTTTAACTGGGAGAACACTTCCAAACACCTTAAGTTGTCCCATTTTAGGGTATTAGATTGGACACGGCTGACCCTTTCTTTCAGTCACAATTCCAACAATATAGAGAACTCACAAAAGGAAACATTTATTTACACCTACCTAATTCCAAAGTTTTAATTTATCCAAATATTCTTGTTGAGCAGCAAAAGTATTTTCAACAGGTTCTGAATCTCTTAAAACCGCCACTCTCATGTTAGCTAATAAATTATGACCAGCATTTGAATGAGCATAAACAGCACCATTGAAAGCTTCAGTTGCATCTTTACCTAATGAAGCTCTGATTAAAGCTTGACCACCAGGATGTTCTTTGATGAAAGATTTAACATTGTGGATAATTCCACCAATTAAGATCAAACCATCTTTTTTAGCTTTTTCATTAAATTCAGCTCTATCCCAAACAGGTAAAGAATTGACATCTGAACCCCATTGTAATTTTAATTTTTGTTGGTTCAATTTCTTTTGTTGTTGTTGGAAAACACCTTGATCAATGGCATTTTGGCTGAAAGTTCTTAAATTATAAGCTAAACCTAATTTTGATAATACCCAAATAGTAACTTTAGTTGGATCGTATTGGTACCATTTTAAAGCATTTCTGTAATCGGATGGGAATTCATGATGGAAATTATGATAACCTTCACCGAAAGTGACTAATGCAGTTAATGGATGATCTCTTGGAGTTCTTCTGTCATCGAATGGTTGAGTACCAATCCAATGAGCTAAAGAATTAACACAGAAAGTAGCTTGTTGGATAACAAAAGATCTTAAAATACCAGCATAAATGAAACCACCCCAATAATCACCCCAACCTAAACCAGCAATTAAAGAAGGCAAGATAAAAGCCATAAAAATGACTAATGATAAATAATGTTTATGTTGGAATTTAACAACAGGATCAGAAATTAAATCTGAGATATCAGCTCTTGCTCTGTGTTTAGGATTTGGAATGGTCAACATCCAACCCATGTGAGAATACCAGAAACCTTGTTTAGCATCATAAGGATCTTTCTTGGTATCAGTATATCTATGATGAATTCTGTGACCATGAGACCACCATTTGATTGAACCTTGGATTGATCCAGCTCCAAATAATGCGAAGAAAAGTTTGACTGGTAAAGTCATTTCATAAGCCTTGTGAGCCCAACCTCTATGATAACCTGCGGTAATTGATAAACCAGACATAACGTACATAGTGAAACCTAAGATTAAGGTCTTGTAATCTGGAACATATTTAGAAGCTTGGTAAATACCATAAGCTGGAAGGAATACAACTAAGATAGCATTAAGCCAATTAATATGTTTGTACCAATTTGATAAAGTCCAAGGTTGTTCAGAAATATGTTTAACCTTTTCATATTTCAACTTTTCTAATTCATCTCTTTCAGCTAAAGTTAAATTTTTCTTATTGTTTAAATCTTCAGTTAATTGTTCAGCTGTGACTTCAACTAATGATTTAGTACCCATTAATTTACCACCAATACCAGCAGCAACAATTCTAGGATTTTTCCTATTTGAACCTGCAGCAATGGCATTCAAAGCTGTTAAATCAGCAATATCTAATTTTTCAGACATAACTATAAGTATATGATGAAATCAGTCAAATAAAATGATTTAATAATTTACAGGAAATAATGAGATTTAAATAAAAAAAATTGTTGGGCTGCTGCCGAATGTAGTGACAAAAAGTCGCAAACGGGGCATCGCGACATATTACATAGTTAAAACGGCCGTTTATAAGGAAGTTGGACCAAATGTCGCATGTAATTACTTAACGGAATACGTCAAAGTCGTGCGCGTGGGTGAAAATCTTCAGATTTGGTTCTTAGATGTTCTAACAGTTTGATTCTTATTGGGAGTTGGTTCGAAAAATGGGTCGACCAACATTTTCCTCGCACTATTTTAGGTACAATCTTAGTGACAATAAGATTTGAGGCGATATGTGTAATTTGCGCTGATCAATTCCTTCACGTTCTTCCTTTTCATCTGACAAGATAGAGTTCTTAAGTGAAGCTTAATTATTATCTTGATAAGGACAAATGTCTTAATTTGGCTATGAATTTTTTTTTTTTTGAGACTATAAGGTGATTTTGAAAACCAACATTTTTATCAACTCATGGTTTATATTTAAATCAGTTGATCGACCAACTGAAATTGACCCATTATTGATTGAATCATTAGTACCCAAAACTTTCAATTCCATTGATCCTTGTTTAATTCAGAGGATATTTGTGCTTATGTAAGAGATTGGCATATTACGTAAGCGAACTTGGCTGCAAAAGAAAATCTGATAAGGAATAAATAGGAGGTAAGATCTTTTGAATCAGAAAGTTGGAGGTTGCTTAATTGAGGAATGATGGTGGTAGTCCGAGGTCGATGAGATGGATTCGGAGCTGATAATGGACTTGAAATAGGATGGTAATATTTCAAGTTGCATGCATAAGGGTTAAATAAATTTCAAAGGCCGAGGATTATGCGATGAGCATTACTATCCAACAATTGTAAGAGGTTGCAAGAGTGGGAGGATGATTTCTCGGTTGTACCTCACGGAATTCATTCCTTGAATGTTCCATTGTTTCCATTGAAATTCAATGTTATAGATTGCGGATCAAAAACTATTGATACGTCAATTTGTCCCGATCCGACCCATGATGGCTAAGTACATTTCAAAGCCTATTTGAAACAAAGAAGAAACCAGCCATCACAGCTTGTTGGATACAAAGCTTGAATCACACAAAGCGTAGTCACCTTTAGTGATTGATGACTTTCCAAACTTTGGTTGACTACGATGACTTTAATTTCACCTTGAATGACCCAAAAATTATGATTTGAACAAATTTATATACTGTGTTCACCTTGGGCAAAAGTATTATCATATCAGAACTAAAGGACAACACACTCATCCCGATGACTTAAAAGCCTTGACCCTAAAACCCTAGCCAATTAATATTGCGCTATCATTACATGACCAATAGTGAAATTATGATCACTTATATTACAGGCACGGTGGTTATCTTAAAAAACAAAATCTTCACTTCTTCTACCTATTCAATATCTTATAATTCTAATCCTTCATCAACGTCAACCACCTATCCTTCCCCATCAACTAATTCCCCTGACATATGCTTACCATCGGATTACATAATGAACTCCTCTTATTTATACAAAGCACCCCGCGACAATTCCCCGACATCTCTCATGTCGTAAAGTCATTGAAAATTGAAAATATCTCATTTTTGGAAAAAATCAACTGATAACTGGAGCTATTAAACAAAGCATATATAAGAAATTGAATTACAATTGATTGAGTTTATATATTGAAGAATTTGAAGAATCGAATTTTTAAAACCATAAGTCATCAATCAGTTTGTTTAAATCCCGTCTTAAGGCAGTTTTTTATCTTCTAATATAGGGGTACTCCACAAATTAACTTCAAGGTTCTAAAATCTACCTTAACACCTTATTATGAGTAACTTTAAACCTACCTCACCAAAAACATCCCATATACCTGATAGATCACCTTCTATCTCCCATCAGAGTAGTCATGCATCTATTCATTCCCATCATCACCATTCTAATTCTTCATCAAGAAAACCATCAATTGTCGAATTATTAAGTTCCCCTCCACCTTTACCACAAAATAATAACAATGATGATATTAACATATTGAATTTATCAAGGAACAATTCTGTGAGTTCAAGAACTAGTCTTGAATTATTTGAAGTTCAATTAAGTGAATTGATTGAAAAGTCCAAATTGATTTCTATTAATTCTGATTATTCTGTTCAAGAAGCATTTGAAACTTTGAAAAATCATAATTTGACTAGTGTACCTGTTAGTACTACCAAAGACTCTGGTTTGATCAATTGTTTAACTTTTGATTATAGTGATTTGAACACTTACTTGTTATTGATTATGAACAAAATCTCCCTCAAAGATTTGAATAGCGATTTTGAAGGATTTTCCAAGGATAACTTTAACAATTTAGTTACAAAAGCCAAAAAGGGTGAAGAAGTTCCAGTCGATCTTATAATCAAATTACATCCAAAGAACCCATTCATAAAAATAAATGAAAATGAATCATTATTAACAGTAATGGAAATTTTAGGTAATGGAGTTCATAGAATTGCCATTACCAACAATGAAAATGAAATTGTAGGGATCTTATCACAAAGAAGATTGATCAGATTTATTTGGGATAATGCCAGAAGATTCAACAATTTAGAATATTATTTCAATCAATCAATTGAAGATTTAAAGATAGGTTCAACTAATCCAATAACAATCTATGAAGATCAACAATTGATTGAAGCTTTATATAAGATGTTTTACGAGAGAATTTCATCATTAGCAGTCATTGATCGTAAAGGATTCTTAATAGGAAATATTTCAATTGTTGATGTTCAAAATATAACATCAAGTCAAAATTCCCATTTATTATTTAAATCAGTATTGAACTTTATAAGCTACAATTTGAGTCAAAAAGGTATCGAAGAAGGTAAAGATCAATTCCCAATTTTCCATGTGAACAAATCAACCGGATTAGGTAGAATCATTGCTAAATTAGTTGCAACTCAATCTCATAGATTATGGATAGTTGAAAACACTGGCTCAAATAATAATTCCTCTTTTGATGATTCCTTGAATGACTCAGGAAAACCTGGAAATTTGATTGGGGTGGTCACGTTAACAGATATAATTGGATTCTTAGCTTCAATCAAATCAAATGGTAAAATTGATCCTCAATTTGCAAGAAACCAAAGAAGAAGGTCAAGTACATCAACAAGAAGTTCAATAGACAACCTGGAATTCAGAAAATAATTTATTTCGTTTTTATTTTATAAATCTTATACATAACTTTTGATCCTTTCTCTGAGGTAGTGTCATTTCATTTCTGACCCTTAATGTTTATCGTAAAATTTGCAAATCTTACTAAAAATGTTTCGAAAAAGATCAAAAAGATCTAAAAAAAACCTAGAAAATTCCAGAACCTTCTAGAGATTTCTATATGTTACAATTGTTCTTACCAATTCACAAATAGGTCATTGAAGTTGAACTTTGATGGTTTAACCATTATAGTGATGGGTAGTTGCTGGATCAAAATGTCGTGTAAAAGTCTACGTGTCTGTTGCCTCTTTGGCTCTAAGTTAACGAAAAAAAATTTCTTCGTTGACTATTTGGAAAAGATGACATCCACAAATGAATCATTCAGCTCAAGAGGAGTAGAAATCATATGACTCTTAAGAATTGAAGACAAATAGTTGATCAATTGATAGAAAGAGGGAAACTTTTATCCTTTATCAGGGAGGTAACTATAAATCAACGACATTCGATCGCAATTGAAATTTATATGACTAACTTTTGGTCTAATTTTCTGCTGATGATCGATAACTGGGGTTAATCTGGATTGATATGCAATCTATTACTCATATGAGTCATGATCAATTGATTTTCAACCAATTTATTACAGTAAATTATGTTATTTTTAAGACACTTACGACTTCCCAACTGGGGACAATACGACATTTCCATCCTGTTCTCTCATCGCAAAATTTTTACTATAAATTACCTCGCCCACACCTGGAAAAAATTTTCACACAAAAAAGTATTTGTAAAAATGGGTAAAGAAAAAACTCACATTAACGTTGTTGTTATTGGTCACGTCGATTCAGGTAAATCAACCACCACCGGTCA